AATCCTGGGCTTTCACCCTCCCCGAGCGCTGGTGCTACTGGTCCACCTTCCCAGGGAGGGGGGGGGGGTTCTGTGAGATGGGTGTGTTTAGAGAGAGAGAGAGATGTGTGCTGTGAGCTGGGTGTGTTTGGGACACTATAGAGAGAGATGTGAGTCTAGTGTTGGAAATGGAACGAAACTCATAGTCCAATTCTTGGGTGAGAAAAAAATTGGGAATTAATTAAGATCGTCGGATTAACAATCTTAAAATGATCTGAGGCGTTCGAAAGATTTTATAAGTTTGAGGTTTAAAACTCTTTCTACTTTATTATATAGATATACAATATACATCTATAGGAATAGTTTAGTTGTACGCTCCTATCAAAGATAGTTTACAACAAACACTTGTCCCTATTTGATTGATGTAGCATAAAAAATCTAGAAACATTTTGTTTGAATTTTGACATGATGTGGCACACTATATTCCAGGACAAATGGCCTTTTTAGGATATTTTTACTTCACAAATTTACCTACCCCATTCATGTGTGTGCTGTAGCCTAATTTTTTTGCTTTCATGTTTTGGGCATATTTTTTTGGATTCCAGAAAATATTGGATTCAATTTTGTATGCCATTATCTTGGTTGGCAACTTGAGTGATAGTTTTATCAGCACTGCCCTCTTGTAATGTTGATGGTATTAATGTAGGTTTGGTGATTATATCCATTGAACACCAAACTGCCCTCTTAACTTTTATGTTATTTTGTGAATGCAAGCGCAAAGTTTTCAACACCTTGTATCTTAGGTCTGTAGTTGTAAGTCAGGCAGTTTTGTTACCTCCATGTACGCATAAAGTTGTCAATGTGGTATGGTTTTGAATTTGTGACAAATATATGTTACTTGAGTAAACTGCTTGATCATAACGGGAGATTTGGAATTACTTTGGTTTAGATAACTGGGGAGGCTGCAGTTGTCAAAAGTGCTCTGTATCAAGTGGCATCTCGTCTTCATGATAATCCATCACGATCTCAGCACATGCTCTTGTCTTCATCCAGTATCTATAGAGCTAGTGGTACCTTCATGGGTCCAAATACTGGTGCTCCGCTTATGGGTGTAACATCTCTGATGGGTCCTTATGGGAGTTATAAAAGTGATGGTGGTGATTGGTCTGCTTCTGTCAAGGAATTCTCTCTTCGGTTGGTCTGTCCAACAGAAAATATTGGAGGTGTAATTGGCAAAGGTGGTGGTATTATCAAACAAATCAGGCAGGAATCTGGTGCATCCATAAAAGTTGATAGTTCTAATGCTGAAGGAGATGATTGCATTATAGCTGTATCGGCGAAGGAGGTAAGCATGGTTAGTTGTTTCTTTGATTTTTGAATGTCTAAAAACCCAGACGATAAGATCTAAGATTGGCAATATTTGGATATATGGTTGTTCAGTCATTCGAAGACCCATCTCCAACAATTGATGCAGCAATGCGATTGCAACCACGATGCAGTGAGAAAAGCGAAAAGGAATCAGGTGACCCTGTGATCACGACTCGTCTACTAGTTCCAAGTTCGCGCATTGGATGCCTTATTGGGAAAGGTGGCAGTATCATTACTGAGATGAGAAATGCCACGAGAGCAAGCATCCGTATCCTTTCAAAGGAAAGTCTTCCCAAAGTTGCGTCTGAAGATGACGAGATGGTCCAGGTAAAGGACTATAACATTGATGTCGGTGTTGTTGTAGAGGGGTGGATATGAAAGGGTGCATAGACCACTATGCGCCCTTTCATTGTTCATTTATCTCTCTGGTCCAACGTCATAATTTTGTAACCTAATTGAATATATAAATGCTGATCAGATCACTGGAGACCTCAATGTTGCTAGCAATGCCCTCCTACAAGTAACCATGCGCTTGAGAGCCAATTCATTTGACATGGAGGGAGCTTTAGCTGCACTGCCACCAGCTCTCCCCTATGTCCCTATGTCGGTGGATATGTCAGATGGTTCAAGATATGGAAACCATGATAATAAATCCCGTGGACGTGGATATTCTTCTTACTCTGGTGGATATGATTCTAGTGACATGCCTCCAAGTGACAGTTATGATAGTCACGGTGGTTCACAGGTAGTTTTCTCTGTCTTTGCTTTTCTATTTTTGGTATTTGTCTAGTGTGTTAATTTTTCGGCTACTGTCTGATTTTAAGGGTGATTTCAATCATTTATTGTTAAACAGCAGCTAGTGTAGAATAATTTTCACTCACCAGCTGATCAATTATTATTAATAAGATTGACCTTTTCTCTTTATTACATTATTTTATTACTATTATTCTTCAGATGGGTAGCGGAAGTAGTTATGGAGCATATGGCATTTACACTAGTCGCACTGGTGGTTCCGGGTAAATATTTATTTTTTCTGGTCATATGACATAATATTGGCTTTTCCTCAACTGCACTGTTATTAATTTGGAAATATTGCATGTGTGCTTCACCTTTATCCATGCAAGGTTTTATTTTTTCTCAATTTACTTATCTTATCCAAGCCCTGATTTTTAGCCTCTGTTACCAGGTTATCTAGTCAGAATCCTGTTTCCCATGGGAAACATCGTGGTTATTAGAGACCCTGGATTTAGGGCTCGCAGGTAGATGTTTGTCTCCCTTTATGGTCTTGTTGGATTTGGGTTTTAATAAGTGAGCTGCTTGGGTTTATGCTTTAGTCATTATAATGGATGCACATATTCCTGTCTGTTTCTTAACCTAGCCAGACATCCAGTACATGGATTTCTAATACTATCTATTTTCCTTTTCCTTCCTTCTTTCATCGAAACAGCTGTGATCTACGATGCCTGAAGCCTGCCCATTACCCTATTGATGATGCCTCCAGCCTAGACCAGAAGACCAGACGAACAAGAAATGAGAAATTTATGGTCAACCTTGGCCCACCTTTCTTCCTTTGTTTAGGGTGACCGCTGTAATCTGGCATGCAACTCACTATTAGATCACTTGTGGCCTTACACCTAGTACACCAAACTCTAAATTGTGTGCTTCCAAAGGCTAATGTAGCCAGCATTGCTTTTATATTTCAGAGCAGTAGTATTTGTTGTTCATTAGAACTTATGAGAGTGGTGGGTGATTGTTTCTTCTATTTTTGTTGACGATATTAAACATTTGCTATAAAAATGTGATTTCTATTTATATATCGGATTTGTATGTCTGTTTGGCTTTAGATAGAATGCACTGGATTTGGGAGACTCTATGATGCAGTTTTATGAGGTTATATGTAGAATGTCAGCTTATTTGAAATGTGGACTTTTTTGTTCTCTTGTTAATTTTGTCTATTAACCTTGTTCCGAGTTTTTTCCCTTAAAAGTTTGGTCCATTGGTGGAGCAGTTATTTAAGTTTGTGTTGTAATGCTGTGCATTTTCTGCACACATTTTCATATGCCTTTTTTGGTGTTCCCTCAACTTACTCTGAATGTGGACTTTTATTCCTATCGATTCCATCTGGTGTTCCTGCTGTGAATTGTACTTTCATATTTGTTCCATTGGGCTGGTTCATTTATAAGAGTTTGGTTCCTCTAAGGTTTTTCATCATTTTTTAGGGTTAATTACAAATGACCCCCTCAAACTTTTGTGGAATTTTCAATCCACTCCCTCAGGTTTCAATTTCAACAAATTGCCTCCTTAAAGTTTCCAAAGGACTGAATCAAGTGATGTGGTAGACAGAACATGCAAAATCCCTAAATGTCCTATCAATCATGACTGCAGAGACTTCCCTGGAGAAAGATAATTCCTATTTTTTTTTGCTTTCCATTGAGATGTACACATTCAATTCAATCTTGGAATAATCCCGGCAAAGCAGTTGGTTGGTTATAGAGAAATGTAAGGTGATGCCACCCACTTTCCTCTTCCTCCTCCTCCCTTCATTCCTTGACAACAATCGCAAGGGTTAGAACTTAGAACACCACCCTCCTGGCTCCTGAAGACAAAATTCTGCACCCCACCAATTTCCTTATCCACTTCACTTGGGTTGAAGATTCCAAGCCAACGGAAGCATGGAAGCGGTCAAGCATTGCCAATGTTTGCCACTGGAGGCAAAAAGAGAGGCTGTGGATTGAAAACTCAGAACCCTCTTTGCCAAAAGTAAGAAGGGGGATTTGCCAGAGAGGGAAAGAAGGTTCGGGGATGTGAGTTGTTTGGGTCGAGGGTTGCTGGTTGGGGAGGTGGAGTGGGAATTTTCGTTGCAGGAGAAATTTGTTGGTCCAATGAAAATTGGGGACAAAAGGGGTAGTTTTGTCTTTATGGAAGAATTTTGCACCAGGAGAGTTAACGTGAGGGATTTCTGTTACTTTTAAAGGCTAGAAATTAACAAAATGAGTTGATTGGATCAATGTTAATAGTCTAGAGGGTAATTTTTCAGAATTAAAACATCAGGGAGTGTATTGAAAATCACCACCAAGTTGGAGGTGGCAATTTCTAATTAACCCTATTTTTTTATGGATGCTACAATGCTCTTTTTGCAGTTCCTTGTTTGTGAGCTTTCCGTAGTTTCAGGGGCTGACAAGCATTCTACAGTTTCTTGGCTGATCAAATTATGTGTAGACATGTTTGATATCAATATTTTTCAGTTCATGTGTCTGTGTATGGGTTGGAATTTATGACACGTGTTTTTGGAACTGTCAAATATAGTTTCAGGGGGCTCACAAGCATTCTACTGTTTCTCTATTGATAAATTCTGCTTAGGAATGCTTTGTATCAATATTTAGTTGGTTGTGTGAATAGTGGTTTGGATCTAGAATGCAAGTGTGCTCCTTAAATCTGAAAATATGCTTTAAAGAGATAATTTATCTGTCTTCTAGAGCATCCAGGTTAGTTTTGGATAATTATGCTTTGAATACTGACCAGAATGAGATAGTTTATCTGTCTTCTAGTGTGTCCAGGTTAGTTTTGGATGGTGTCTGTGAACACAGACCAGAATAATACAGTAGTCTACCTGAGGGGTAGGTCTATGATAAGTGCGAGGATTTGAGCTGGATGCACTGTCAGAAATTGACACGCATATTGTTGATATTACAGTGCACTCTGTTTATCGGGTATGTTTATTTATCTATTGGATTTTGATTTTGGCTGGGGCAAGTCCATTTGTTACCCATTCTGCATCAATTTTGCAGGTTTGATAAATAATTGGTTCCTTCTGCACTACAATCAGGTAAATTTTTCTCTGGTTAGTAATTTGTTGAGTAAATTGACAGGCAAAGCAATGTTTTTAAATTCCCATCAGATCATTAACCTTGAAAGGAATGTGCCTTTTTGGGATTCTTCTTGTCTGCTATCCCTAGCTATGATGAAGGCAATTTACATTTGATCTGGATCATAAAGGTCATTGAATATAAAGTACACAAACGGTGCACTAACATGTCGGGGTTGCTGAGAAGTGGCACTTGATCTTCATGCAGACTAATGCATTCGTTGTAAATTGCCTTTTCAGTCCAAGGATATTTGTGTGTGGTCTACATATGGTGGTCATTTAAATGCTTAATTCATTTTTTTTTTTTGAATGTCCTACTGGAACTTGATTTGCCTTTTTCTTTTCCCCTTTTTCCATTTCTTTAAAGTGGCTTTGACATTGAGTTGCAGAATGAGTGGAGGTAATATGAATGATGTCCAATGACTGATATGGATATTTGGCTTTGAAAAACTGGGCAAATTAGTAATTCCTTGGTGAAGACCTGGGTTCAAGCTTTGTCTTCTCCCTCCCAGATATACATATGAAATGAAGTTTTGTCTAGTATTCACACGAAAAAACCTTGTTTGAAGAGTGAGTTCTTAGATCAAAAGAAAAAAGAATCCTTGGTAGGACATCTGTTTACTATAAGGTAGGACAGATAAATGCACTTTCAATTTAAGCACATTTGGCATGAATACCTGTGGAATTTCATCTTTGAAATGAGTCTAGAAAGTAAATGAGTTGATGTTTCGACATTTCAACTTTCTACTTCTGTCTGTTGCTATAGTTTTTGGGGTGCCTTACAAGGTTATCATAATGGATCTTCTGGAATAGCCTTTGCGTGTTGCATGATGCAATAACACATGTTCTATTTGTGCGGCTGATATGCGATCAAAATCGTTGTCGGTTCTACTAAATGATGAACCTTGTCAGTTTTAACCTCCGACCTGAGCAAGAGATAACTGTCAAACCAAGCCCTTACCGTACTCCTCATGAATATGATGCTTCATCACTCATTGCATATTAACGACAAGATGTTGCTGTTGATATGTTTTCTTTTGGCTTTGAGAGTATTACTCCTTTCACAATACATAATCCTTCTTGTTTCAGGTCAGTCTACATTCAAATTTGAATAGGGATTTTCATATTTGCATTTGTTTACTGGAACTGGTCTGATTTGATTTCCCAGTGACAATAACTAACCGTAGTCTCTGATTGATCTTGGCCAAGACAAGCATCAACTGAATGAGCCTCTACATTTTTTTTGGCTAGCAACAGGAGGATTACTTTGAGGTGTAAGTCATCTGGATTACTAAACTGACTCTTATGGTTTTATACGAGTCAGATCACCATTGGCTTCATTTGTAAATGCAGGAAGTGAAGAACCGAAAGAACCAACCATCCATCTCCAAAACACCGAGCCACCAATGCGCAAAGATGAGCATGAATGTTAATCACTAAAGAGGCAGGTGCAACAGTGGCAAGACCTAAATGACACTGTAAATCTAAAATGATGTGAAATGGCTGCAATTTCAGTGAACTATGCAGATTTTATCTGCAAATTTTCATGTACTCAGCCTCACTATAATCAACGAAATATGCACAGCAGTCTTGTTAGCATATGAAATTTTTGCAACATTTGCATTATCTCAGACAACAGAAAATAAAGACTTCACGAAAAATAGAGAACAAAAAACAAAGAAAAAAGGGGGTCTGAGCATCGAGAAGGAGACCACAAATGGGGAGAGACAAGTTTTAGGAAGTCAATCAGACATGAATCGGACAAACCTAACAAAAATCAGTGTACGAGACTTCTTTCGTTGTGCAGTCTGAGTATTAAATGTGCAGAGTCTTATTCCTACATGTTCCAGTTGATCTAAAGCTTCTCCTTCAATTAGAGAAAATGCTTGAAAACTTAAAGCTCTACCATCATAAAAGACCCTCTAATGTCAGTCATAATGATACTTAGAGTCGCAGCCTCATTTTGCACTAAAGCTACCTTATTAGTGACTTAAGACCAACTTGGAGAAGGTACATTCCCTCTATTTTGACTTGACTTCACCGACATGCACAGATTATTTTCACGACTTGCATGGATTGTCGTTAAAAATAATGTTATTTGGACCTAAGAATTTGATTATTTTCACGACTTGCATGGATTGTCGTTAAAAATAATGTTATTTGGACCTAAGAATTTGATTTAATAATGTGACTTCAATGAAACTATTAGATTAGTATCAAGTTTCAATATTTGATAGGTCTTATAGTTAATTAAAAATTATAGTGAATTAAATTAACAAATTATTTTCCAACAGATTTGCTCTAATCGCTAATAATACTTTTAGTTATTTCAATGTCAGCTTATGCTCTCTATATAAACAACACCAAACCATTATAGAAGGTTAATAGATTGAGAGACATGAAGCCATGCCAAAATGGAATATCCCATTATTGCTTTGTATTGGTGGAGTACTTGGAGGGTGGGCCTTGGTACAACAATAAGATTATTTTATTGTGACTTAAAGGTCACGGGTTCGAGTTGTAAAAACTGTTTTTCTGTTTGCAAGAACAAGGTTGCGTACATCTAACTCTCTCTAGATCTTGCAAAAGTGGGAGCCTTGTGCAGCAGTACGCTCATTGGTGGAGTAATTGAATAGTTATCCAAAAAAGAGGGCAGCTCTTGTGGGGTTTAGTGAAAGTATGATCTAAGTAGTGTAGTCTTATTTTGCATGTGGAGAGACTGTTTACCTTCGTATTTTAAGCAGTTTCAACAAAAAAGAGCATTGTGCATTACACTGACAGCTTCTAACAAAGAAAGAAGAGAAGCAGTGAAAAATGAAGGCAAGACCCTTGAAGCTGGTAAAGATTCCAGGGATTCAACTTCTCCAACACCAAGGATGACTAGAGAGATCACTGTATGAGTCCTTATTCTGTCAATTGTTGCAGTTATTGGGGGCATTAGGAACTGCAGTGGCTGTGGAAACTACAGATGAAACACTCCCATTTTTCAATCAGTTTATTCGATTCATGACTGAATATGAGATCTTCCATCCTTCTTGTGTAAGTGTTCTTCACCATCGGGGATTTCTTTCAATTCTGTGTCACAAAGTCTAATACTTGCGCTTCTATCAAACAGCTTCGTTGTGATTCAGAGATTGCAAGCTCACCAGTACATAGCTTCATTGCTTTATCTCGTTGAATAGAGAATGCTTAGAGCAGAAAAAGAAAGTTATTGTGAATGACATAGTTTCCACTTCTCATTTGATAATACGCTTGGATACGTTGAAGTGCTTTGACACTGAAAAACTTGGCCAAAGTTTCCACTTCTCATCTAAAAAACTGTATGCCAACAATTTAACAACTTCTGTGAGTGCCTCTCAGGATCTTTGGTTGGCACTTGTGGTGGGATTATCGTGTTCATACTGCTAATCCTTGTGTCTGCCACAGGAGTACCCAGGCGCTGATGTGTTACAAGAGCAATATATGCACCTCTGTGGCTGTGTCTATTTGATGGTGTGTAAGTTTGCATGAAGTTTCGTATATATTATGCATTCAACTACTGTTTTACAAGCTTCATTAAGGCTACACTATGTATTAAAAGTTGGATTTGTTGACATTTTTCTAAGAATTGATATAGGTAACACCTTACAATCTGAATGATCATTCAAATTCACCATAGCAAACCGATCAACTGTCCAACCGCGATACCCTGTATTCAGTTCTCTTCAGCATGAGGAAATGTATCTGACAAAATGTATGAAGCTTTGGTGTTCTGATTCATATGTAATAGTTGGAAAGAAGGTACACAGGCTACAAGTGATTGTTGCTTAGATTTGCTTGGAACTTCATTACAACTTGTAATTATGCTACAAGAGCTTAGTGTACATCTTAAATCAAATGAACTATAGATCCCATAATCTAAAACTCCAAGATTATGAATTTCTCGACCAACTTGTATCTGAGCGAAGAACCCAATCCAATCCATCGGAAGGCTGCCATGGTCCATCGGAGCAATCAAAGAAATATGTAGTCACATCGATCATCTAATTCCTCGAACTATGCTAGCAATGCCACAAGATCATCTATTGATTTCAATGTCTTCTCATAGTATACATAGGATTCATATATCTTGGGTGTTCGGACATAATAATCAAACTGAAACAAAACAGTCAATTGTTGGGATTAGGTAAATCTCACTATTCCATTTCTTCCTAACATGCTCTGATTCATCAATTATCATCCCAATCACTTAATATACTACAAGACTTTGAAATCACTTTCTACATTTCCATATGCTCTTTTTTCTTAATCATTGAAAACATTTCATCCAATTCTCCTATGGAAAGGGGCAGCTAAAAATTCTTATTAAGATCGTTATCCAATTTCATTTTAACCCAATCATTAGATATTCAGTTTAGTTTATTTATATTGCCCTTTTGAAATGAAGGAGCTCTTTTTAAACAGAATTAGAATGAAGAAGATAAACGTGTTTTTTTATGAGCATAATAAATAATCGATAATTATTTTACACATTTGTTAATTTTTAAGATGTTTATGTCGATATTTAACCATTATGGGAATAATTTGTGAGAGAGTATGCAAGAACAACATACCTCGGCCATGTTATCGACCAATTCATTGGCAGCTTTGACATATGACTTTCGCCGGCTCTCCGGCACCATCGGCATTGCGTTTTTCATGTCCTGAGAGAGATAAGTCGACTTCAGGCGAATGTAAAACAAGACATATTTCCAGGACAAGTTCTCCAGCATGTCACGAATGCTATGTAGTCCCTCGGCAGTCTGGCGAATCCTCGCCACTGAATCTTCCGGCGACAATTGTGGTTCGAAGAAACGCTCTCTGATGAGTGAACGTACACCCCAGTTCTGAGCTAGTGCTAGTGGGGTTGTGGTGGCATGTAGTCCAAGCGCCACTGAAGTGGCTAGAAAGGTTGTGAGGATATTTCGCCGGTTGGTCTGAATTTCCTCTCCGGAAAATGATGCTTTGGTTGTTGGGAGTGGCCGGTGGGGGTGATGATTATATTGGGAGGTGGTGATCTTGGTATGAAAAAGAGCTATTGGATTAGTGAAGCTGCTCATGGTGTTGAATATTTATGTGGGGAGAGAGAGAGAGAGAGAGAGAGATTTGGGTAATGAAGAAAATGTAATAGTGGATTTTCCGGCCAGGTTTTGTAGATGAAGAAGCTACTTCGTTACTCCAACATGCACCCTTGCTTCATTATCTTCTTTTTTTGGGAAAAGTCCTTTACAAATGAGAATTTTAAAAGTTGACCCCTATCAATTATCTCTAACGTTCGACTGCATCATAGTCTCATAGCTTAGCGGTTTTCGGCAACGATTCGAATTCTGATTGTACGATTCTCATGAAGCCTTTATTTTAAAAAATAAATTTCGAAAGAGAACCAATCTACTCCTTTGAATTTGGAGTTCAAAGTAAATATTGTGGGCAACGGTTATACCAAGTTAACATTATCATGCGGTATAATTGTCCAATAATATTTTAACAATTAGATAAAATAGACTCCATTACTTCAAATAATGGTTACATATTCAAAAAGTGGAATTCCTTTACCCACTTATTTATTTATTATCGAACAGTTATACTGTATGATAACGTTGACATGGTGTGTCGAATATTTTTTATCGTGTGGGCCAAATGAATTTCAGCCCAAACTATGAGGATTGGGCCAGAATTCTTGTCTTGCAGGTTTTCTAGCTTAGCTTTGATGTTGTCATTGGGTAAGGATTGAGAAATCATTGAGTTTATTGGGGCACGAGCAGGAAAAATTTTCTTATCTCACATTTCCAGGGTGCTAAACATTGATCTGGATGTAAAGTATGATATAATCTCTTAACACAACACAACCGAGATATAACACGAAATTAGAGAGTTTTGATCTTTCTAATTTTATACGAATTTATACTAGTAATACACGATTTATATATAATATGAACGCAATATAATACGATTTATTAAACTCGTATTAATAAATGAATCGAATATGTGTAGATCTGTGTGCAATGAAAGTGCAAGAAACAAATCTGGAAAAGCTAATGCCATGTATGGCAGAAATTTAACCTATCCTTCCCAAGAAATAAAAATAAAAATTGTCCAACATGAAACTGTTGAGTGTATGGGTATCTACTGCCTACTTGTTTTGAGTCAAACCTAATGATATAACTCTTTGGGTCAGGCCATGAGGGATTTATCCTTATGAATATCTTAGTTCTGATATGCATGGTCTACCTTTAAACGGACTAGAGAAGAAATTAGAAGTTCGCGAAAGTTGGCTCAAATACTCTGACCTTTCAACTAAAAAAATTCTAAAGATATTGTTTCTTTTCAACTTGAAGGGGTTCACTATGAATTAGGAAGCTCCATTTCATCTCATTTCAATTCAAACATTTCAGGTTGTTGTGGTCATCCACAAGGCTTCCATTTTTGTACAAGCCAAGTGGCCAACTCAATGTACAATACATCTAATCAACTTATGATGTTCCTTCCTCTCTCTCTCTCTCTCTCTCTCTCTCTCTCTCTCTCTTCTAGGGGAGCAGTATGGTGGGCTGAGTTATGATTCTTGAGGTTGAAGTTGGGAGGATTGTGAACCTCAAAAGCCTCTATTTAAGAGTTATTCCTNGAGAGAGAGAGAGAGAGAGAGATTTGGGTAATGAAGAAAATGTAATAGTGGATTTTCCGGCCAGGTTTTGTAGATGAAGAAGCTACTTCGTTACTCCAACATGCACCCTTGCTTCATTATCTTCTTTTTTTGGGAAAAGTCCTTTACAAATGAGAATTTTAAAAGTTGACCCCTATCAATTATCTCTAACGTTCGACTGCATCATAGTCTCATAGCTTAGCGGTTTTCGGCAACGATTCGAATTCTGATTGTACGATTCTCATGAAGCCTTTATTTTAAAAAATAAATTTCGAAAGAGAACCAATCTACTCCTTTGAATTTGGAGTTCAAAGTAAATATTGTGGGCAACGGTTATACCAAGTTAACATTATCATGCGGTATAATTGTCCAATAATATTTTAACAATTAGATAAAATAGACTCCATTACTTCAAATAATGGTTACATATTCAAAAAGTGGAATTCCTTTACCCACTTATTTATTTATTATCGAACAGTTATACTGTATGATAACGTTGACATGGTGTGTCGAATATTTTTTATCGTGTGGGCCAAATGAATTTCAGCCCAAACTATGAGGATTGGGCCAGAATTCTTGTCTTGCAGGTTTTCTAGCTTAGCTTTGATGTTGTCATTGGGTAAGGATTGAGAAATCATTGAGTTTATTGGGGCACGAGCAGGAAAAATTTTCTTATCTCACATTTCCAGGGTGCTAAACATTGATCTGGATGTAAAGTATGATATAATCTCTTAACACAACACAACCGAGATATAACACGAAATTAGAGAGTTTTGATCTTTCTAATTTTATACGAATTTATACTAGTAATACACGATTTATATATAATATGAACGCAATATAATACGATTTATTAAACTCGTATTAATAAATGAATCGAATATGTGTAGATCTGTGTGCAATGAAAGTGCAAGAAACAAATCTGGAAAAGCTAATGCCATGTATGGCAGAAATTTAACCTATCCTTCCCAAGAAATAAAAATAAAAATTGTCCAACATGAAACTGTTGAGTGTATGGGTATCTACTGCCTACTTGTTTTGAGTCAAACCTAATGATATAACTCTTTGGGTCAGGCCATGAGGGATTTATCCTTATGAATATCTTAGTTCTGATATGCATGGTCTACCTTTAAACGGACTAGAGAAGAAATTAGAAGTTCGCGAAAGTTGGCTCAAATACTCTGACCTTTCAACTAAAAAAATTCTAAAGATATTGTTTCTTTTCAACTTGAAGGGGTTCACTATGAATTAGGAAGCTCCATTTCATCTCATTTCAATTCAAACATTTCAGGTTGTTGTGGTCATCCACAAGGCTTCCATTTTTGTACAAGCCAAGTGGCCAACTCAATGTACAATACATCTAATCAACTTATGATGTTCCTTCCTCTCTCTCTCTCTCTCTCTCTCTCTCTCTCTCTCTCTTCTAGGGGAGCAGTATGGTGGGCTGAGTTATGATTCTTGAGGTTGAAGTTGGGAGGATTGTGAACCTCAAAAGCCTCTATTTAAGAGTTATTCCTCTGAGTAGAAGTTGTTGGAATCATTAAGGTTAATCAATTCTATTTTTTGCACCGAGAGAATGATGATGAGACCATCTTAAGTCCTTGGTTGAAGAAAGAAACTGACACCCAATGTATAAACTCATAAATCAAGATGATTCAAATTTTTTTATTTTTGTATGATGAACACAGATTTTCACAATACATTTACTTGACCATGTTTGGATTGATGGCCTCTTGAGGAGGCCTACGAACGTCTTGTAACTGTAAGCTTTAGTCCATGTGCCATTGATAAAATTGTCATCATCCTGTACTTCACTGGATGTCCTGGAACCAAATTGAATTTAAAGAATCTGCACAATATTGCCAATGCCATTTTCATTTGGAGATATGCGGAGTCCTTTCCTAGGCATATCCTCGGGCCAGCCTGCATATCGATAACAATTAAAACGATGCTGCAAGATAAGGTAAATATTGCTATCATAAATAGAGTTTCTAGCCTTCCTATGAATTTGTTCATGTGGTTTTTTGTCCAGTATTTTAATGGAATTTCTATTTATATCTACCGGATGCTTGATCTTTTGGTAATTTGTATCTTTAATTTATGTCCAACACTTGAAAATGCAAAAGTTCAAATCCATGGTTTTGACCGATTGGTCTTTCAGAATGTACCTGGAATGCAGTGAACTTGAATGGAGATGCATTTTGGAAGAACCCATTTTTGAGCCATCTCTCTGGCTTGAAGGAAGCTGCATCAGCACCCCAGTTATACTCCATTCTACCCATTGAATAGGGAACATAAGTCACCATGCCTCCTGCTCTTACTCTCGTTCCATCAGGCAAAACATCATCCTCCAAGATGCCCTTAGGGTCCTGCAATCAGATTACCTCATTTCATTAAGTTTACATTCAGTAGGATCTTCAAAAACCGATGAGTTTTTATGCTTTTTGTAGTTTATATCACTAATTTTCATGATCGTGTGAACACTAAGCATGCTCAGGAAGAATTTGTGATATTTAGGATGCTAAAAGATGCTGATCAATTAATGGTTGGTTGATATCAACCATATGAAACTGTTTTCATGTGTACCGCATTACCTGAGGGACAGCAGGGTACAATCGAAGTGTTTCTGTGACCACAGCATGCAAGTAATACAATTTTCCCAATGAATCGTAAGACATGAGCCTAGCGAATTGGATTGCTCTCTGATTGAATGTTTGTGGATCCTCTGCGTTGTACTGATTCAATGAGACATTCTCTTCTTTTGCCCAATCTTCTTCAAAAGCTTTTAGCTCGGAGTAAAGCTTTTCTGCTACATGTTCATGAGTCATGATCATGTATATTGCCCAAGATAGAGTCGTGGCGGTTGTGTCACGGCCAGCAATCACAAAGTTCAGAACAATGTCTCTCAGGCTTTTTTCAGTTATATTGCTTTCAGGATCTTGGCCTAGCTGAATGAATCTCGACAATATGTCATGCTTAATCTGGAAATTTTCATCATGAGAAGAGTCAGATAATGGAAAAAAAAGGAACATTATTCCCTAAGTTTTCTGAGAATTTCAATTTTCCAATCATGTTACCTTATCATTTTTATGAGTTTCTTGAGCACCTTCTATTTCTGCCTTCCTTCTTCGAATGACAGAATATGTAAAATCATCAATAGTCTTAATGCTCTGGTCAAGTATAGCTTCTGAACCCATATTAAGAAATTTCTTGAGTTTCCATAGAGGATCAATGAATCTAAGAGTAACAATGATGTTTGCAGTGTCAAATGCCTGTGCAAAGCAGTTATCCGGTAGATGAGGAGCCAAGGTTCCTATTTCTACACCAAATCCCACCTTACATATTGAGTCCAAAGTCATCCTCATCAACAATTCCTAGAAAACAAATGGTTCAACCACCTTTTAGCCACAATGCAACCAACTAAAGAGGTAGTTAGAGCCACTTACACCAAAAATAATGTTATAGCAGACAGAAAAGAATGATGCTCTATGCAGTTCAAACAAAAATCACATTGTAGATATAATGTAAAACAATAAATGGATTTCTTTGCTTCCAGATTTTCTTTGTTTTCTAACGTCCAATGAAAATTTCTGCAGAGCAGTTAACGAACGAAGAAGACTTTGCAAGTAACCTGCATGTCTACTTCTTGATTCTGGAAAGATGCTTGACCAAGAATAGCAGAGAGTTTAAGGCTGTACTCTCTGAAAACAACAGTGCTAAAATCTCTCAAGTTCTTGGAAGCAAATTCAAAGCTTGCAGTCTTCCTTTGTTGCCTCCAAAGCTCACCATCTACATTAAAGATACCATCTCCAAGCAGCACTTCCATGTATGAATGATATACTTCACCCTTGAAACAGAAAAGGAAAAAGAAAAGAAGGATTTTTACCCTTTACAACCAGAAAATTATGAACAAATTTGGAGTACAACAGAATTAGATTAGTGATTGGTCGTATTGACCAATACCGCCTAATTGATTCTTTGTACTTGATGATAAGAACAGTTATGCGTAAATAATGAGACTTTTTCACCTTTGGGTAATTGGAAAAGTTGGTTTTGAGCACATGCTCTACATTAACAGGATCAGCAATGTAAGTATAAGCCGTGAACGGCATTGGGACCACCACAGTTCTTGACTCAGCCAGGTATTTAAGAAGCCAGTCATGCATTCTGTCGTAATTCATTAGCTGTTCGATTGCAGCCCCAACGAGTGGCCATGTTTTTGGGCCTTTTGTGTGCCTCTGTTGCCATCTATGGAAGAAGATCCATGACAATATCATGCAAGCTAGAACCATTAAAAGGTTGCTTCCCTCTTCCATCTGATACTAACAACAATAGGCAGATAAATTGAGTGTTGATAACAGGGAGGACTCAGATGCGAATGGTTCTTATAAACAAGAAGAGAATGTGGTTGAGATATGGGTTAGTAATGAACCATTTATGATTTCATTAACAATCTTTGGATGTTTTAGGTTTAAATGAAGTCACAATCTTGGTGTGTCCAACCTAACTTACTCTTATATACTTAATGACTTGGCGGGCAGATAATAATTTTAGTAACTTAAGGAAGGTTGCTGATATTTTTCAGATGAAATTTGCTAATATACTGCGGGAACAAAGGTCATATTCAGTGACACTTGCATATAACAGAGTTTTGTAGAGGTAAGTGATAGGCAACCTTACTCCCATTTCGAAGAGACTGATTTCAAATAGGTTGAAAACAACATTAAGAAAGTCCAGATTCATTCAAATAATCAATTAGCAGTTCAAACTTATCCAAAAAGAACTTGCTTACCTAATGTGATAGACTAGCTAAATATTTTAAAAAATCTAAAATGTCTGTGTCAATCACCATGCTCTTTCTAGCTCATGCATGAACCTATCTCCTTGGAAAATCGTCTAATTTTCCTATTTTTAATGGACCCTAAGGTCTGCGGAGCATCTTAGTTTATGCAGCAGTTTTTTAATTTGACTTCTTCACATATTTTCCAGTGCCAGAAAATAATTGAGCACCTGTGTCAAAAAATTCTTCCACATATCTATGATTTTGCGCATGCTGAGATCTCTCGTAAATAATCTCTATCAGTGAACCGGAAAAAACTTCAAAAGGGTCTTTACCCAGTTTTGTCATTGCCAATCCGGGTATCTTGAATTGATGGATGGAATATATACAAACGTAATCTTTGACATTATTTGCAAACACGAGTCCTGCTTTAGGACAAATTGTCATGCCAAAGCCAAAAATAACATAGAAGGGTCAAATGGAAGGGGTTGTTCAATACACAAAGCTGAAACACGTACTGATTTCTACCATAGTTTTCATGAATTACTCAGCAAAACATTTTAAATTGCCAGGTCAAGATGAAGCTGATCAATATCTTAGTAGAATTCTTGTTTGCTGAAATCATAAACTGGCCAGTTGAATCATGACTGTGTAAGCAAATTATATACTTTAACTGAGATTTCTGTTAAAAGATAAATTAGAAAAATATGTAACATATTATAATTTAACCCCACAATTTACAATTTTTGAAAGGTGGGTGAGCACTATAATCCGTAATCAACCCAAATTTTGCACATTATACATGTCTAGATCATGCATATCACTGAAATTGAAACACTGGATTCACAAAAACTGGCTTGTTTAAAATGTTGCTCTGAGTCACTTGAAACTTGACAGAATCTGCATATTGGTGTGGCACTTCTCCTACTAACTGCAGCTTTTCAATTGCCCGGGGGACATTTCCAGCATGACCCAATGTGTTTTGGGGATCAAAATTTGAATTGTATGCATTGTCACCTAGAAGTTGGGAAATTGACCCCAAACAATCCAATTGCCATAGATTAGAAAGGGAACAAGTTCTTGGAAATTTGAATGTTTCTGCAGCACTAGCATCATTAAAATCCTGTTTTTGGGCACGCGAATCCTCCTCTTGTTGCTCCATAATTCTTGCCACATTCTTCTTCTTATAGATCCTACAAAGGACCCAATCATCTAACTGGAACATATAAAACACAAACCATGATCAATTTACCAATCAATATGATCAAATTCTTTCACAATCAATAAAATTATCGATAATCACTTACCCTCATGGATCCATTTTGCTTGTTGGGTTGTGATCTTGATTCGTTTAATCGATATTCATGCATAATCCAATCAGTTTTTATACCTTTTGGTGGCCTACCCTTGTAAAACACAAGTGCTTTCTTCACACCAACATATTTGGATCCACTACATATGGCCTTATCAGTGCCTGTAGCCTTCCAATAACCCGAAACAGCTGCCCTATTCGGCCTCACTCCATTGGGGTACTTCCGATCTCTAGGGGTGAAGAAGTACCACTCACTTTCTCCAAATTCCGCTTTCTCTACATATAACACAAGGTAACATGATCAATATCAATGCATTTAATCAAACATATGGTGTTACAAAACAAAATTTTCGAAAGCAAGGTACTTATCAAGTAATACTAACCAGGCAATTGCCAAGGATCAAACTTATAAATATCAACTTCTGGGATTATTGACACAGGGCATGGCCTTGATGTTGCTTGGTTTCGAAGATAGTACATGATTAGTTCCTCATCAGTTGGATGGAACCTAAATCCAGGAGGAAGGTTAGAACTGTTTTTTCCTACCATTTTGGCCATGTATCAAAGTGTTGATATGAACACAAACCAAGGTGACCCAAAAACTGAGCTGTTTGTCTACACTGCTTTCTAAGCTAAAAGATGGGATTTTTTTTGGGTTTTTCTGGAGAGAGAGAGAGAGAGAGAGAGAGAGAGAGAGAGAGAGAGAGAGAGAGTTTGAAATGGTTGAAAGGAGAGGGATAGCAGTTTTATCAGTGGGGGTTTTTTGTCCTTAATGGTGGGATTACATCATGGCGTGGATTGGTTGTTTTTGACTTGCATACCTCGTATCTATGTATGACCATCAGCAATGGCTGCCATACTTGCAAGATTAGGTGAATGGGTTTGCACTTACTTGGCAGATATGATCAAATATCCATTATGAGTGATGGGAATATCCCTTTTTGGTATTTTTTTCTTCTTTGTGTGCTGCTTTAACAAACTTCTTTTCAACACTTGGAATATGTCCAATTTTATCAACTGAACTGCTTTAGGCCAAAGGTATGGGTCTGCAAAGAACAACTGAGTTCAGTTTTTTTTTTTTTCTGTTAATGTTTATATATTTATATGTTTGTCCCACATCAATTAGATTAAAAAACTTCCCTACTCTCTTATATTATAAATCAATCTCCTTGTGTATATGGTAAAGTACACCAAAGTAATATACATTTATGTAAGGGGTAGAACCTTCTACTAAGGATTTCGGCTTGACCTGGGTTAACCCACGCGGGCGATCCCCCAGTAGCCTTTACCTCTCTTCGCCAATAGGACCCTTTCCTAAGACAATTCCACATCGGACCCACTAACGACCTGATCAGGTGCCTAGTGGGTACCTCCTCCATAGGAAGTGTTCACTTATATGGCAGGGGGGGAGACGACTCTCTTCCGATGTGGGATTGCCTTAGGAAATGGTCTTATTGGCGAAGAGAGGTAAAGGCTGGAGGGGGTCGCCCGCGTGGGTTAACCCAGGTCAAGCCGAAATCCTTAGTAGAGGGTTCTACCCCTTACAATTTACTATTCATTTTCTATTCTCTTCTTTCACATGATATCAAAACTTAGGCTTGTGAATCCTTCTAATCAAGGATATTATGTTCTATGGTTACCATACGAGGAATCCTCTACATTAGAACTCTTGAGACTCTTTCTCTTCTGGCCATCCTCCTGTGACTTTCCGACCCTCTTCTACACCGTTATCTTATTTCATAGTTTCCATGTAAACAAAGATAGAAATTTCATTGCGATATATAATTTCAGTCAAACTCTGAAAATAAAATATTTTTAAAATACTTTTAAACTAGAGTAAAAATGGAGAAAAATATTTAATAATTTATTTTCAAAAACAGAAATCGAAACACCTCGAAATACTAAGATTCCAATATTAAATCATTAATACGTTTCAATTTCTATAGAAAAATAAATATTTTGATCCTATCAGTAAAAAAGAAACAAAATATGGATCACGATTGAATAACCTCTTCTGAAAATTCTAAAATATGCACAAAATTATACTAGTCTTGAGGGATTGCATCTACAAGGAAATCAGAGTGGTATATTATTTATAATATAGAACATGACATGTTTTTATAAGTTTATTCAACGATTTTAAATAGACTTATCTAACGGTCACCAATATTCCTCTCAAAATTAATCACATTGTACCGTTCTTTTAGATACGAATTACCCTTAATATATATGTGAGAGGTGAGAGGTGAGAGAGAGTAAGAAGAGAGGGAGAGGGGTAAAGTAAAATTTGCCCCAGTTGGTTCATGCAAACTCTAGTATTATTTCAAAAGAGGAGGAGAATTGAGTTTAGAACTCCCATGCCATGCAAAGCATTCTTTCTATTTTTTTTTTCTTTTTTGAGATTTAAGTCGATGCTCTCAATTTAATTAGATTAAAAAAGAAAAACTTTGTTGAATGGCACGTGGAAGCATTTCATTTTTCTTCTATTAGAATGTAAAAATAGAGTAAGATTACAATTCCGTAATAGATACCGTATCAAAAATTATATATTTTTTCGGCCAAGTTACATTATTTTTAATTTAAAATATTAATCCTAAAAAACGAATATCGAACACACACAACTTTATTTTTGTGTAATATCACAAAATTAGATTGTAATCTTACTAATGGTATAATAACTTTGGTGCGAGATGTCAAAAGCATACTTTTTCATATTTTCCCAAGAAAATTATAATAACATGGAAAAAATAAGAATATATTCGTTACAACAGTGATACTACATGATAATGCTGAAGTCGTATCAACAATTAATAATATCAATACAAATAAATAAATAGACTCCACAAAAATTAATAACTAATCATCTATGTAAGTAAAAAAAAACTATTCGGTCTTCCTCTATATAAGAAAATAATTGTTTAAGTGGGGTTCATCTCGCCTATTTAATATTTTATTATTAATTAGTGATATCATGTCAGCACCGTTACTTTAAATATTTTCTCAATAGCACGTGTGCTATAACCAGATAACATGTGTGCTAGCTCTATACAGATAAGTGTGAAGAAAACTTAATAATATATGTGGACAAGTTTAGTCAATGGCATAAATAATGAAGATAATGTGCTCATAAAGATAGATATGGGAAATACTTTGTATTCGTATTTTTTTTTTGGTAAATATAGTATTATCTATTTAATATTCCAATTATTATAAAATTGAATTTATCCAAAAAAAAATTTTCTTGTAAAAAAATTGACAATTAATATCAGACAATTCAATCAACACAGTCCCTAATGTTAAATAGTCTCATCAATTCACACATATTTCTCTCTTTANCTTTCCTAAGACAATTCCACATCGGACCCACTAACGACCTGATCAGGTGCCTAGTGGGTACCTCCTCCATAGGAAGTGTTCNATGAAGATAATGTGCTCATAAAGATAGATATGGGAAATACTTTGTATTCGTATTTTTTTTTTGGTAAATATAGTATTATCTATTTAATATTCCAATTATTATAAAATTGAATTTATCCAAAAAAAAATTTTCTTGTAAAAAAATTGACAATTAATATCAGACAATTCAATCAACACAGTCCCTAATGTTAAATAGTCTCATCAATTCACACATATTTCTCTCTTTATTTTAATTTTANATGGTCTTATTGGCGAAGAGAGGTAAAGGCTGGAGGGGGTCGCCCGCGTGGGTTAACCCAGGTCAAGCCGAAATCCTTAGTAGAGGGTTCTACCCCTTACAATTTACTATTCATTTTCTATTCTCTTCTTTCACATGATATCAAAACTTAGGCTTGTGAATCCTTCTAATCAAGGATATTATGTTCTATGGTTACCATACGAGGAATCCTCTACATTAGAACTCTTGAGACTCTTTCTCTTCTGGCCATCCTCCTGTGACTTTCCGACCCTCTTCTACACCGTTATCTTATTTCATAGTTTCCATGTAAACAAAGATAGAAATTTCATTGCGATATATAATTTCAGTCAAACTCTGAAAATAAAATATTTTTAAAATACTTTTAAACTAGAGTAAAAATGGAGAAAAATATTTAATAATTTATTTTCAAAAACAGAAATCGAAACACCTCGAAATACTAAGATTCCAATATTAAATCATTAATACGTTTCAATTTCTATAGAAAAATAAATATTTTGATCCTATCAGTAAAAAAGAAACAAAATATGGATCACGATTGAATAACCTCTTCTGAAAATTCTAAAATATGCACAAAATTATACTAGTCTTGAGGGATTGCATCTACAAGGAAATCAGAGTGGTATATTATTTATAATATAGAACATGACATGTTTTTATAAGTTTATTCAACGATTTTAAATAGACTTATCTAACGGTCACCAATATTCCTCTCAAAATTAATCACATTGTACCGTTCTTTTAGATACGAATTACCCTTAATATATATGTGAGAGGTGAGAGGTGAGAGAGAGTAAGAAGAGAGGGAGAGGGGTAAAGTAAAATTTGCCCCAGTTGGTTCATGCAAACTCTAGTATTATTTCAAAAGAGGAGGAGAATTGAGTTTAGAACTCCCATGCCATGCAAAGCATTCTTTCTATTTTTTTTTTCTTTTTTGAGATTTAAGTCGATGCTCTCAATTTAATTAGATTAAAAAAGAAAAACTTTGTTGAATGGCACGTGGAAGCATTTCATTTTTCTTCTATTAGAATGTAAAAATAGAGTAAGATTACAATTCCGTAATAGATACCGTATCAAAAATTATATATTTTTTCGGCCAAGTTACATTATTTTTAATTTAAAATATTAATCCTAAAAAACGAATATCGAACACACACAACTTTATTTTTGTGTAATATCACAAAATTAGATTGTAATCTTACTAATGGTATAATAACTTTGGTGCGAGATGTCAAAAGCATACTTTTTCATATTTTCCCAAGAAAATTATAATAACATGGAAAAAATAAGAATATATTCGTTACAACAGTGATACTACATGATAATGCTGAAGTCGTATCAACAATTAATAATATCAATACAAATAAATAAATAGACTCCACAAAAATTAATAACTAATCATCTATGTAAGTAAAAAAAAACTATTCGGTCTTCCTCTATATAAGAAAATAATTGTTTAAGTGGGGTTCATCTCGCCTATTTAATATTTTATTATTAATTAGTGATATCATGTCAGCACCGTTACTTTAAATATTTTCTCAATAGCACGTGTGCTATAACCAGATAACATGTGTGCTAGCTCTATACAGATAAGTGTGAAGAAAACTTAATAATATATGTGGACAAGTTTAGTCAATGGCATAAATAATGAAGATAATGTGCTCATAAAGATAGATATGGGAAATACTTTGTATTCGTATTTTTTTTTTGGTAAATATAGTATTATCTATTTAATATTCCAATTATTATAAAATTGAATTTATCCAAAAAAAAATTTTCTTGTAAAAAAATTGACAATTAATATCAGACAATTCAATCAACACAGTCTCTAATGTTAAATAGTCTCATCAATTCACACATATTTCTCTCTTTATTTTAATTTTAAATTGTATAATTAAAAAAATTAAATTATTATTTAAAATATAAATAATGTAAGATTAATTTAATTTTTGATAGTGTATAATATCTTTAAACATAATATTATTATTAATTTTTTTATTATAAATAAAATATTTAAAGTTGTGACTAATTCCTCAACTTCGACTCGACTGCCGCCACTAAAAGACACGGAGTAGTTCTGATTTGTGTTGCTTGTGGCAATCTAGGAATAAAATCATTAATTTATTTGGAATGAGTTTTCGGAGGTGGATGTCACCCCAGTTAGAAGTGCGACACGCGTCCTGCCAAAAAGGTGTAGACAATGATAAGCATTGGGAAAAGGAAAATATTAGGTCAATCCTTCGCTTGTGGTTCTTATCCAGCCGCCTCGTTAAATTTTTAGTATGAAAGTGGCACGTGTCCGGTTATTGAATCAAGACTACGCTATTATTTTCTATATCATAGTTTGTTCCGTCAACGACACGATTAATCAATACGAATTTGTATTAATTAAATAAATTTGAGTGAAATTTTAAAGAGTTTAATATTTCGTTTGGTAGGAAAGATAGAAAGTGGGAAAGATAAAAAATAAAAAAGATACATTTTTTATCTTTTAAGAATAAAAAGTAAAAAAATACGTTTTCTTTCTTTTGTGTTTCATTGGATGGATAGAAAATAAAAATGATTATTTTTTTTTTGTATTAACTAAGATTAGAGATGATAATCAAGTCGTGTCGTATCAGATTCGTGTTGAGTCATTACGGGTTTGTGTCAAATATTAATCAAACCTAACTTAACTCATTTAAGTAATTATGTCGTGTCGAGTTGCGAGTTGACCTGTTTATTTTGGTATCGAGTTCGAGTCGTGTCATCGTGTTGAGTCAAAAATTTTCACCCTTAGTCAAGATAGAAAAAATATTTTTTTTTTAAAATTTTTTTTTTAAAAATTTTTATTTTTAATTTTAAAATTTTTTAATATATATATATATATTACCATTGTATTTTTATATGAAATTAATGTATATATAATATATGTATATATAAAAAGATATATAGACAAATAAGATACATCTCAACACAAATAATAAACTTTACATCCACTTTCTTTCAAATTTTGGAGGGATTGATTTTGGTGAGTTGGAAGGAAAGTTAATTCATCAACTTATTCATCCTTCATACTTTCATTCCTTACCAAACATGATGTTTTATTTATCCCTCCAACTTTCCTTCCTTCCAACTTATCATCTTCTTACTTTTCCATTGTACCAATCAGAGCATAAGTGATAAATGAATTGACCCGTTAAACACGTTTAATAAATGGATCGTATTCGAACGAGACGTGTCATACTATTTATCACACATTTATCCGTTTAATAAAATTAATATAATAATAAATTAATAATTATTTTAAAAAATTAGCTAAAAAAAAAAGAAGAAGTAAAATAGTAGTTCAAAGACAAATGAAGGGAAATGAGAGCCGTCCATGACAAAAGCATACTAACCCTTTTTGTTTTTGTCTCACATCGACAAAAGATGGAAGATGGAGAGGACTGTCTTGCCTATAAAAGGTAGTGGTTTCTTGTTTTTTTTTTTAGCCTTCAAATATGATTTTTATGTGAAATTTGGTTAAAAATTCTTCTTTTTTAAGGTAAATATAATTGACAGTAAAAAAAATGGTGTATTAAAATTTGTTGATATAATTTTTTTTAAAATTAAACGAATTAAACGAGTTGTGTCGTGTTACACGTTTATTAAACGGGTCGTGTTTGTGTTGAAATTTTTCACCTGTTTATTAAACGTATTGTATACAAGTTTAATTATATTTCATTCAGTCACTCAATTAACCCGATACGTAACCGTTTAACCTAACACGTTTGACACCTCTAACCATACCATCAACCCAACACGTTTGACACCTCTAACCATACCATCAAAAGTCATTATATGTTCAATAATAAAAGCCTCGGTCACCAGGTAAACCCAAAATAAGTGATTTATTTCGTTGGCTATCCAACTCTTTCGAGTTCAAGTCAAACAAAAGAACTCTTCATTGCTGGTCAAAATGGGACGTTTTATTATATTAATAAAAATAAAAGACATTTAGACTTGACGAATAAAATAGAAATAATTTTTGTCTGTTTCTTTCTTTTGAACCTTTTTATTAGTAATGTGTTTTTTTTAACCTATAAATTATTTAATAGATTAGATAGACTATATGCCATTTTCCCTCGAGGTAAAATCATATTCACCATTTTTTTAAGATTGCTAGTACAAAATAAATTTTTTTTATATTGTACAATTTTTTTTTTCTTTATCGTCACTTTACCTTGTTGAATTGTCCACATCCACCTAGAAATCGGCTAAAGATAAAGGAAGAATATTTTCTTGCGCTGAGGTCATCATAGGAGTGCAATTCGATGGTTGAGTGGCCAATCGGAGTTAAATTGGGCTATAAAATATTTGGATCAAGTCTAATCCGAATCCAACCTTTTTAAGAAGAGTCGAATTTGTTTTTTTTTTTGCATTAACAAATAAGTCATTTCATTGCAGTTCTAAAATACAAGTAAGTTCTTCTCATACTTGGAATCATACAACAATAAAAATAAGATAGAATTACACCTTATCTCTTAGAGGTTTGTCACTTAATCACTCAGATCTTCTGATATTTAAAATATTATACACATACTCCCTGAAATTTGCACGTGCGTAACACTTAGACCCCTACCGTCAAATATCGTTAGTATACCTATTAATAAATTACACTCAGATCCTCTAAAATTTATAAACGTATAATATTTAAATCTCTTAAGTTTAAAATGTTATACTTAAACTAAAAATACTCTAATTAAATATAAAATATAAAATATTTTAAATTTTATAACCAAAATTTATGTTATATTATATCATTTACTGAAATAAAATTAAAAATAAAAAATTAATTTTTTCTTAAAAAATCGTAATTAGTATACAGTTATACTATTTATTAGAATAAAATTAAAACAAGAGGTCCAAATAATTCATAATAGAACATGAATTTTACAACAAAAATTCAAGTTTTATTATATCATTTATTAAAATAAAATCAAAAATAAAAATAAAAATTTTTTCTTACAAAATTTTAATTAATATACAATTATATTATCTATTAGAATAAAACTAAAAAATGAAATAAGGGATCAAATTGTAATGAACACAGTATATTCTAGCTTTAATTGAGATAATTCAGTCGTTTAAACGATCAAATTAAATTCTAATAAATAATATAATAGTTTTAGTTTTTTAAGAAAAAATAAGTTTTTATTTTTAATTTTATTTCAATAAATGTCATAATAGAACATAAATTTTAGTTGTAAAATTTAAAATATTTGATATTCTATCTTTATTTGATATATTTTTAGTCTAAGTATAACATTTTAAATTTGAAGGATCTAAGTATTATAAGTTTAAAAATTTCAGGGAGTCTGGATGTAATTTACTAATGAATATACCAACGACAGGAATCTAAGTGTTAAGCATGTACAAATCTCAGAGGACCTGTGTGTAACATTTCAAATATCAAGAGATGTAAATGATTAAATGACAAACTTTAAAAAATCTGAGTATAATTCACCATAAAAATAATTATTCCTTCAAAAGTTATGACGAAGACAAAGTAATTTTAGATTATACCAAAAAAGAAAACACTCAAAATGATATTATAGTCTCTTCAACAAAAGTTTTAGCATCAAATGAACAACATTCTTTAGACTAGTATGTCCACAAATGAACAATATTCTTTAGACTAGTATGTCCACAGCTAACTTCTTGAGTAGGGTTGATAATCAAGCTGAACTATTCGATCTCAATTCGTTTTGGACTCGTTTTATTTTTTAAATGAATTCAACTTGAACAATATTTTAACACTCGACTTGTTTATATATAAAATAATCAAACTACTTAGACTTAACTCGGGTTCAACTTTATTCGGGTTCGGTACGTTAACTTGAACAATTTTTTAGACTCATTTAGAAAAATAAATTTCTTGACAAGTTCGGTTCGAATTCGCAAAGCTCTGCTAGACTATCAGCCCTAACGTTGAAAATAATTAGTATAAAAAGATTCATCCTAAATATTATTATAAACTTTCACCCCACCTGCATCAACTTTATAGTCAAAGCACAATTCTACATCTCTAACAAGGATGAATCTGTCCATGATTTTCATGGATTACATAAAGATGCCCATTGATGTCACACAATGCCCCAAAATAACTAGAAAAACAGAAGAAACCTTGCCTGGATCGGCAAATGGCTCGTCCAAGCTGCTCTCGCAGCTCCCAGCCTTGCCCCGTGTAGGAGAACTGGGCAATGGGGCATTTTTGCACCAAGAAGATCTTTACTACACCATAGGTGTATGCAGTGTTCTTAACATTGTTCCCAGAAATCCTTCATCATTTAGTCCAACGAACACATCCCATATATACTTCGCATCAAGTTGTAACTCGAACTTTGTACAAAGATGTTGTACCTACAGAAAGTTACTTTTCGAGTACAAAATTTGGGATGATGCTTGCCTCAACTTTTAGCGTGGATTGGTCAATCTGTTCTCATGCAACATACCAAAAGCTGGAACTGGAATCTCACACGATCCATATCTTGATTATAGTCTGGCAATATCAATGAAATGAAAACGAAAAAATTAGAATATGAAACTCAACTTGGTGAACGTCCCAGCATATGTTATTTAAATTCAGAATGTAACAGATGCCAAATATCAAATCTTTTGACTAAAACCTACATTCTAAAGAAGGCCTAACAGTTATCTACTTTATTGCATTAATTTTTCAAAATTTACGTCCACTTTCGAAGCAGGAAACTGGAACAAAAATTAAGACATGACAGCGAGAACCAAAGAATCAAGGTCAACATCCTTTCTCAACCGTCACTTGCTTTTCTTACCACTACTAGGATGTTTGTAAAGGGCATGTTACCATGGGTATTTACCGGTAGGTTTGCTCAAATGGAAGGAAACTGCAGTTCCATCTGTTAGGACTTCTTCAGAATGTACATTCCATCCCTGAGTTCTAACTTCTCTTCTGCAACTAGACCGGATAAGAAGCTTTGCAGCTGTTGAAGTGATTTGTCATAAGGAGGATCAGCCACACAAAACATCTGCAGGCAATATTATTTTGGTCCACTCCATAAGTTACTCATAGAACCATATTGTGATTAGACAAACAACAATTTTGAAGAATGAACTATAAACTGCAATACCTTGAGAGTGTTATGAATCCGGTCCAATGCCGTGCTACCGAAATTGGTAAGCATCCCCGTAATAAATTTCTGTAACCAAAACCAATTACATTTAAAAAACTTGCAAAAATGGCCACTTAGAGAGTCATGCGACATGCTGACAAAGAAGTGTTTATTATGAAGAGCTAATCCAAGCATGAAAAGAAAAATAACAAGATATTTATTGCATAGAAAGCATTCATATAAAAGGATTCAGATCTCCTCTAATATACTTTTCCTAAATTTTACTTAAAGGTAGATCACCCTCCATATGAGTGAGGCGTGGAGGGACCACTTATAAATGTTCATGGTAAGGGATACAATACTGAGGAAAAGTGTATTAGGCGTACTATCCATGCAAGATAGACATCCTTAGGTAGGCCATAGCACTGGCAATGTTTCAAAGCTATTTTTTATTATGAACCTGAAGTGGTAGAATTAATAGTATATCTATATATACATTTTTGCAAAAGGAGTGTCTAAAAATCACAAGAAATTCAATTTAGCCCATGTTATTCAAAACGAAATGTGAAGGCTAGTAAGTCTAAGTGTCTTTCAGGTCCAGTTTTGATCTCAAACTGACTGAATTAATGGTTAGGAAGAGAGATACTAAGACCATCCGATTTCTTATCCTGGCTTAAGAACCCAACTCAAAAGAAAAAAGAACAACACAATAAAAAAGATTCACCATAGGCGATTGCACTTCACTTTTATATCAAGGTTGGTGGCAATGCCAAAGTTAAGGAAAAAGAAACACAAATTAGGTTAATAATAGATGAATGACTGTCCAAAACAAATTGAATGAGTTCAGACGACCTATAGCATCCATTAATGAAAATTAAAAGTGGAACAAGGATATTCGGCCAATAGACCTCGTAAACAGTCATTTCTTTACGTAGTTGATCCTCAACAGAGGCCACTGATCTCTCTCCATCCTCATCACCCACCAGAAGCTCCTCGCAACTCCCACTGTTGACACCAGTTTTACCAGCGTCAACCATTGCATCCACCATGGTATATGTGTGGTCATTGGTGTCAACTCCCAGTGAGTCTGCAAGAATTCCCTGGTCGACCAAGCGAAAAAAAGCTAAATTTTTAGTCTGCTGCTGAGATTCTAAGAATTACAAGTATAAAAATTTCAAATGAAACAAATAAGTTGTCAAGAAAAATAGAAAAATTAAACATTAACCCTACTTGAGCAAGCTGAATTAAACCAATCCAAAGTCACCCTGTACGTTAGTTCAATTACATGAGAAACAGTGGCCAAAGGAAAACAACCTAAACTAAGAACTGCCACCGAAGGATAATGTCAAATGTTTTCAACATAAGGTTCTCATTAGCAGGTGTTAAAAGTTCTGACAAAACATGATGTGGATTGGAAATTTTGAATTGCTAGAGTGGAAAAACTCAACTTAGAGAGCAAAATAATAAAGACGTCAGTGAAGGCCACAACTAAATAGCAAAGACTTTCAAAATGAATACATCTAACCTTGCTAATCCAAAAAATTATTCTTCTATTGAGTACATCTACTGGTATCCCAATAGCAGCAGCAAGATTCTTAGAGGTCCAACTGAAAGTGTAAAATATAGATTATTTTCAACATGCCCATTAAAAACTGTTACTCTGGCCAGTAACAAAAAGATGATGAGATTACCTTGGTTGATCTTGAAATTGCATAATGATTGATGCATGTATAGGAGTGACTGTGAACTGCAGTGCTCTATCTTCAAATTGCAACTCCAACTAAAAGGATATGGTCATGCCAAAAGGTCAAAGTTGTTTAGTAAGGAAGGGGTGTCAAGGATGTAAAAATGAGTCCCTATTTCTTTTAAAACAAACTAAGAAACTAAATGTCGGCAGAAACTTCAGTTTAATGGAATTAACTGAGTTGAACTAGGTAAGACTAACCTTGACTGTACCAAGACTTTTCTTCCATAGTAGCTTACGAGGAGTCTTGATTTCAGTAAACCTTTTACCATAATCACTAAGAAGCTGTTCCATGGGCCCAGGTATGTTAAGGGCCTCATCCTGCAATTTTTCTTTGAGGTTACTACAGTGCAAAAACAAAAAAATTCTACGATACAGTAAAATCATTTCAAAGTAAAGACGAAGGACCATATTAAAGGAATTGTATGAATTGTGCTTTCCAACTTGTGGACAGAGCAACTATATCATTTTTAACATAAGTAATATGAATGAACAGCCTACTAAAAAGACTTGCACGATACCAAAATATGCTGGCAGTACTTTGCAGTGAAACAATGTGGGAAGAAGCTAGCTGGGGGAAAATCCCGGGGGTGGAGGGGGGGGACATATATTGGAACTTGTTACATTCACTTGAAAATAAGATCTTACAAAAAAATACCATACTGACAATATACTCGAGCATTGAGAATTTGAACTTATTGATGCTGGACAAATAAATGAGCACATGCCACACCATACCAACACGGGAAGACAGAGAAAGATATGTGATTGCCCATATGCGTAAAACATGGCCATTCGCTTTATTTTTACTCAACCTCAAAACATACCATTGTACTCAATGACAAGGTAACCGTCTATTGTTATTTTATGTGATTTCATCTTTAACAGAGTGACTGCCAATGTGTAATGGAGGACAGAAGGTTCCCAAACAGTTACAGTCAGTGATCTGCCTTGCCCAGCCCACCTTATTATTGCAGACATGGACCCCACATTCAAGAGGTACTAGGCGCGGCAGAAGTTTTGGCAGATTTTTTTTTCAGTCTTATACTAGTTTATTTCCTCACTGCGCTAACTTTTTTAGGTTTACCCATTGAACTATGATATCAAGAAAAAACAACATTTACNCCACATTCAAGAGGTACTAGGCGCGGCAGAAGTTTTGGCAGATTTTTTTTTCAGTTTTATACTAGTTTATTTCCTCACTGCACTAACTTTTTTAGGTTTACCCATTGAACTATGATATCAAGAAAAAACAACATTTACTTATCCTTTTGTTCACTTTCCCGTATATGCCCTAACGAGTTATCAAGTTATAACCAATGTTTCAACCTATTAGCACATGCTGCTACAAAGACTTTCTCCCCAAAGTGCAATATTCGCACACTAACAAGTAGGGTATATATGAGAGCCCGTAACATGTGCTCCTTCAGAGCTACACACGTGACTGTTGGAGACCCAGATCAAACAATGTCTATTGTCATACAGACTACCCAGTTTGTGCCAGCACTTCTTCTACCTTCACATGTAAACTGTCTTCTTTTGTCAAGAAATGGAATAATCATGAGGCACCCAAATATTATAATTTATTATATAGGTGACTCTTTTCCAGAAAGATTTTCACCATCGACATTTAGGATTAGTTTGTTTCGCAGGAGAGTGGTAGAAAGGGAAAAAAAATTAAATTTTTTGGTGTTTGTTTAGCAAGACAATAGTAGAAAGTACATGAGAATAAGGATTCCCGTACAACCCAGTTATGCATGTTATGTTGACTTATTTTTCCCCACAAAATGTACAGGAAAATTCATCTTTCCTGTGAAAGCAGGCAGTAAGTTTCCCACTTCCCATTTCAATCTGGATTTTTCTCCACCGCACATTTTCTTATCAATGGCGTCGACTCATATTTTGCACAATCTCTCTCATTCTACACAGTCTAACCGATAAAAACACGAACCCAAAAAAGGGTGTCCAAGTTCATTCCCTTTGTCCCACAGTTTCTCTCATGACTCTCTCAACTTTGGCCATGGCATTCATGGGTTAAGGTTTTAATGATGCCACATATAGGTAATGGATGAAATCTTCCAGAAGCAGTGGGACTAGAAAGGAGGGAAAAAAGCAACAATGAAATTGGTGTAGTTTCCTGTTCAAAAAAAAAAAAAAAGATGGTGTAGTTCATGTCGGTAATGTCTCCCGAAATTAGTCTGATAGAAGAAAGGATTAATGATGTGTGGAGGGATCCTTTGCACTTAAATACGTGATACGTGAGGATAATTTGGAGAACTTTCATCCTAATCAAAGATCCAAGAAAAATATATTTTCTTTATACTTTCTTTTATTTCACTTCTCTGTCCATCACTTTCACTATCCACCACTATTTTCTTCTAACCACGCGGAGCCTTAGTTAGACCTAGGAAAATTCATGTGGAAGTTGCTATCTTGAATCTTAACGAAGGCAAATAAAAGACAACCCCATATGCATGAGAAAGATATAAAACTGAAGTCCAATGAAACAGCAAGGAAGAGATGACTCTCTACTCGTCTTTGGTTGCATATTGCCTCAGTTTCACTTTTTATCTCTTCTTTAACTTTTGTTGTTGAACTGCACCTTTCATGTTTCAGTGTATGGAAGCCAAGGCATGATGAGGCAATATCAGATAATAGAAGAACAACTAGTTGACATTTTCTAACCCACTTACAAATTTCATTAGTACTGTTGTGGCCAATGTCTCTTTTTAGCTCTCAGTGCATGAAGCTAGTTTAGAACAGATTCTACTGGAAAAATTTCAGGTTGGTTGATGTGGTTGTTATAATCAAAAGAACATCCCTGATATTGTGGGTTAGAAAATGAAATTTGATCTGGATCCGCTTTTCAAGGTAGATCATAGAACTAACATCATAATATAACGGAAAGATGCACATATTTTCTTTTACCTTACAACCAAAAAGACATTTTGAGATATCAGAATGTGCAACTATCTTTGTCCATATATATGCTTTAAACAAAACACATGCACAACTAAAGCAAATATCGATCTGCAAGTACCTGGATAGGCGGCCAGAAATTTGAAGAAATGATTGTAGCATTAAGAATATCCAGGGATACCCCCTGATCCCTTAACTCAGCACCTATAATTAATTGCAAAAAATGTTGATCATGCATTCAAGAGCAATCTGAGGCTACCTATCCACAATTCTGAAACTTTAAACATGATTAAAGCAATGATTAGATAGTACCTGATTGAGATGGCTGATTTATGGTTGCTTTTATATTTGTGTTCGTCCTTTTGGAATCAATCAAATCATTGAGCATAATTTCACACCTCTGCATGCTGCTCTCTCCAAAATGTATCTGTAAATCACAACAAGAATTTGAGCATTAAGATGCATTATGGTGAAACTAACTGGAAACTAAAAGAACCTCAATTGTTAAGTGCAATCAGTAGATTAGTATAAAGCCATCAAAAAAATCAAAAGTTTATTTTCAAGACCGCAACCTTGAGGAGTTCCAAAGTACGTATTTCGGAGTCAATGTCATAATCAGATTTGTTCAGAAGCTTTTCAGCTAGCATAACTCGATATTCATTAACCAGCTGATCCTTGGAACCAATTATGCCAACGATCATACCAAGTATGTCAACCTTCCTCCTATGCCTGCTACCCTTCAAGGGGTCAGCCTCTGCAGGATCAGGCTCCCAGCTGAAAGGGTTGATATCATTTAGACAAACATTCAGATTTTAAATGCCATGAGGAAATACAGTGTAAAACTATGACAATCTTGTTCCTGCTTGTTAGTCAAAACATACCGTTGCGCATTTATCCATGCTTGCTTGTCATCGGTGTTGATATCATCATCATCAGTGTTCTCTTGATTTTCTTCCTCCCTGTTCAATTCTTCAAGAAGGCTATCCCCGGTGCTTCCTGCTCCATTGGGATCCCCACTAGTCCCGTCAGTAAGCATGGTCACAATGCACTTAATGGTATCTTTCCTCCCCTTAAGGTATTCCCTAATTGGTTCACCAACCGCTTCAAGGAATATACCAGCTGGATCTATCGTTCGAAGTGCTTTGATAGTTGAAATGTATTGGTGCAATATATCATAGGTTGAGGCACCGGCTGTAAGCAAACGATATCGCAGAGCAGAGATAAATGAATCCACCAACTTTGAATGTTGTCCGGTGTATTCAAGACATTGTTTCAAGTCTTCAATAGCAGGAGAACTGTATAAATTGCATGCATCCAAACACTCTTAGTTTCTTTCTTTTTTTGTCTTTTCTCTCAGGCTAATGAGTGAATGTCACAATTCACAAACATTAAATTAGATTTAGAATGCCCCTATTAATGCATTTACATCGTCTAGGTAATTATGTCAAAAACCAACAAACTTCAAGTTACATACATATTTGGACAACTCAAAACTATTGAAGTTTCCACCAGAATAATGAGTTGGGTCAATCTTCTCCTAAATGAACACATACTTAAAAATCTTGCCATTGCAGAGATTGACTACTAATCCATCAAGATTACAGTCTACTTCTCAAGAATCTGTAAAACAAAAAATTGAGTAGAAAAATGCACCTGTCCGGATAGTCCACAACAATCTCAAAAAGTTTGGCTATTCTTAAATCTTGCAAGGTCTCATAAGCAAAATACTCTAACCGCAACTGCCATCGAACAAGTCCTTCAGAAGGAACTCCCATCCCAGGGTAGCAAGAAGATGGGTATGATGCCAAAGGCGATCTCAAACCAGACAACGGGCTATCATAATTCACAGAATCACCAAGATAAGCCAGGAGTGCATATAAGAACTGGAGAGGCACAGCCTGCAGAATACAATTCCCATTAGTAGAGAGCATCCATTCACGACATAATAAAGTCCCTTGTTGTCCACAATAGTGCAGCAATGATCAGAAAAAATGAACAGAAATAGAGAAAATTTTATTATGTTGGGTTTTATCAGCTCACTGTAAAAGAGGCAACTGGCAAGAATCTTATTTGGGCATTTGAAATAATTACTTTATATGACATACATATAGTACATGTATTGAAAATGTTGGCACAATATGTTCTTAATATTGAGATTATCCACTTTCATCTGACAAATGTGATTGTCTGAATGATAGAAAGATAAGTAGCGCCACGCTGCCTTTGGCACATCATAGTCTACAGATAAAACATAAAAGCCATGCCTTACAAACCCTAAAGTATCATAATCTAATTCAAATCCACCTAAATGACGACTGTCCATCAGTAACATGCTGGATTAGACCAGGGAGCACATAACGCGATCTCACGACATTTGCATTAGATGAATTACACAGACATGAACAAAAGAAGTTACTGGAAAGTCCACAATTTCAAAGGAAACATAATGAGACATGAGAGCAACCTGTATCCACCCTTTAATGGACTCCAAAACAGAACTCCTGAAATCATCGCCAGCCAGATCATGGACTTTAGCCTGCCATGAAAACCCCCCAAAAAAAAATAAAAAATCAACAAAGCTATAGCAAATACTTCTACCTATAAAAGTGTGTGGAGAGACAAATGAAATAATCGGGATTAAATTGTTTTAGAAAATATAAAACAAACAGAAATAACACATAAACGTACTAAAAGAAGGTGTACCAAAAATGCATAGTGAAACATAAACTCACCTTCAAAAGCATAAATATAGCAGAAGCATATGCATCTTCAGCCATAGATGTAAATCCAAGACTTCTAAGATCACGAACAACCATTCCAATGTTCTTCACTAATTTGTGATTTTCCAAAAACCTTCTTTGGTGATGGCATCCATCAATATCCATGTCACCAGTTCTGCAGGGGAGTTTACTCCTTTCATCTAGATCCATGTCATCTTTATCTTGTGATTCATTATCATCCTCACACACTCTAGACATAATTGAACTTAACTCCTCCAACTTTCCCTTAAAATACCAGTGGAGTACATCTAAGAACATTATAAGATGTAGAAAAAGAAATCAACAATTATATATACTTAGGAGTCAGAAGATATCATGTAATTAAAGCTTCAAATAAGGGTTTGTAAAGAATGAACTGAACCATATTTCACCTACGTCTAAAAATAAAACAGTACAATATGGCACAGAGAGACATAACTGGTAAGGATTGTGAATAGAATAACATAGAAACCAAGTGTGATAAACCTAAGATTGGCATGGATAGAATTTGGGTGGATCACCAAGGAAGTATTTGCGGACAGTTATGTCTACACAAGATCTGTGAGTCGAGTAACTTTTTTATTGATACTAATTGGCATCCAACGTACAAGAAATACAGGACACATTCTAGATTTTATAGAGCATATCCATGTCAGGGCATTGAAATCATTTACTCTTGCATTTCACAATTCGCATTTCCACTCAAGTAATACTGATAAACCGCTTTGCAGAAAATTCACAACTAAATAAGAAAAACAATAAACATTCGCAAAGTTTTATGGCTTACAGATCCTAAGAGGTACCTCCACCAAAGAAATTAATCTATAAAAAATAGTTATCTAGAGATAACAGACAGACAGACTATGGTTCTGCCATGATGATCAGTTCTATAAAAAATAGTTATCTAGAGATATCAGACAGACTATGGATCTCCCAAAGAAATTCACTATCTGGTGCAGTGAGAAACTAATGACTGGCCAATATGTAGCTTTTTCCTTTTTCTTCTTCATGATGCATGAAAGCAAGGTCATGTGCATTCCGAAATAATGATCTGAAAATGGTCAAAGAATAAGAATAACACTAGTATTCTGTTAATTCACAGAAATCAAATTAGGAGCCTGAATAGTTAACATATGTATCCATGATATTTAGCAACACAAGTCCTCATGCATAAGTGCATAACCAACATATCTAGCAAGTTGTAATACATACCAGGAAAATGCCGGGGAAGAGTGGCCATGAGAACTGAAGCCATTATTAGTTGATATTTGGAAAAAAGCCGGACTCTTTCTGCTTCTGAACTTTGTCTTCCCTCTGATTCTTTATCTTTAAATGACTGTAAAGCATGAACCAACATTAATAGGTATTTCTCCTGATATTCTTTTTCCAATGATAACTCTTCCAAAGCTTTGCATAACACATGCTGGACCTCCACTTCGTCAATCTGTTTGAACGTATATGCAGATAAGAATTCCAGCAAAACAAGTAAACTACAGCAAAAGAAACAATCCAACCCACATCAATAAGCTTGACAGATAACAGTACATTCCACATCTCACAGCCACTTACTACAAAAAGATATACCACAAATAGCATCCTCTGATGTATTGAAAGTACTCAGTAATCATAAATCAATGTCAGCCAGATTCTCAAGGAATACATTGTAACACCTACTGGATTTGAATGGACATATCTTATCAACTTCATCTTTTCTTTTTTATTTTGAGAAGTAAGAATATCAAATTTCATCTCCAATTGTAAAAACAACCAAAACTGTTCAACGAATCAAGTTACCAAATCAATATAGGGTTAAGTAGAAGAAAAACTAAATTCTATGCTAAGACATTACACAAACGTACAGGGTCCTTATCAATATCAAGAACTGCAACGTTGCTGTAAGGATCAAAATGCCGCCAGAACTTTGATGCTCCATTTTTCTCAAAAGTGTTCTGTAGCACAACAACAGATACAGTATAAATCATAAGCTCCACATCAAGTTATCGAAATAAGTGAATAGATATTGTTACAAATACTGTACTGCACTTTTATTACCTCAAGCGAGCGAAGGAAGTGTTCTTGGACCAGAGACTCGAGCCCGTGCTTGCAGAGAGTCTGGGCATGAGACTCAAACTCCGACCCAAACGACAGATCGCCATTGCCTTTCAGAAGCGATTCAGTCGTGAAGCAGAATCCATTCCAGCTCTCCAGAATTTCTCCAATCAAATTTTCATCCAGCGATTCCAAAATCGCCAAATTACACACAGATGAAGTCGCATCCATCGTCATTCCAGAGCATTCAATTATCCAACAAAATCCAAAACAGTGCCAAAATCAATCGCAAACAAACCCTAATTCTTAAAGATATACATTCATATACATGTAAATATATGAGGGTTTATTAAAAACCCTAGGATTAATTATGAAGAGAGAGCTATCAGGAAGTTGTAGAGTGAGAGACTAGACAGTCATCTCTATCAATTGCCGCCATTTTCTACATTCAAAAGTACACACCACGCAAGCTTTTACATATGTAGCAGAAGACTCACAGGAAGCTGAAGGCGAGTAAAAACGACGGCGTTTCGTGTATTGCAGTAGAAATTAACTTTTGTATGAAATGAAAAGGAAATATTACACTTTGACCCTCCCCAATTATGATTATTTATTTTCTCTAGACCTATCATATGGCTCATATTTACCTTTGACAATGTTATTAGTTTCACATTATCCCAACAAGAGTAAAGATGCTCTATTGTTCACATAGGAGTTGTCCCTCAAAAATGTTGTTTTACACTAAAAAAAAGGGATGTTCATCCTTAGAAAATATAGACCATAAATGGAGATAATAATTTTGACCTGACTTTTGCTGAAGTAGGGTAACTTGAAAAATGAAGTCTAACTTTCATATTTAGTCCCTAGGGATGTCCATGGGCTAGATTGTCCACAGTTTTTGTTACTCGACCCAATAATTAGCCCACGTCAAACTTGAGTCTAATATCTTTCGAGAGAAGGTTTTGCCCTATCCCTCAAACCTATCACCCCCACCTACTGCCTCACCCTATAAAAGTTTGTTAAAACCTGACTCAAGAACCTACCAACCCAATCCAATCCAATGAGCCCGCGCTAAATTTTAGAAATTTAAAAATTATAAATAATATATTCTATTCTTTTGTATGTATAAAAAATATACGCTTTAAATAGTAAAGTTGTGCAAATGATAGATAAGTGGTTAGATTTCAACCTAGTTGGAATGTACTCATTTTATTTGTGATGCATTTCCTCCCCTATTTATAAATAAAATCATTCATTATTTATTTTTTGTCCATTTTAACTCTACTTTTAGTTCAAAAATATAATTTATAAAAATATTATGTTATAAAAATATTTATTATTTATAAATAAAGTCATGCATAAAAAACCCGTCTAGTAGATCCACCCATGGCCCTTCCCAACGAGGTTGCCCATTGAATGGCGGGTTAGATTACGAGTAGTCTACTTCTATCTAAAGTCTGACTTGATTTGTCCAATAACTCACTTGAGTAAGGTTTTGACCCTATCATACACAATACCAACCCAACCCATAGAAAATAAAAGGACAAGGAAAATGGAAACGACTTTTGTTGTCGCATAAATTGATAGAGATTGTAAAGCATATTATTTAGACGAGCAACACACATGTTGTACTGAAAATGATTTTTACATCTCCCAAAATAAATAATGTCATTTAAGAATTTGACAAAAAAAAGTTATTTTATTTTACCTCTAGAATTATATAATTTTGTTTCACTTAGACCTAAAATGTTGATTTATTTGCCAAAAAAATAACGTATATTTATATTTGGAACAATGTGAAATCAATTAAGAAATAATATAAAAAATTCAATAATTTTAGGCACAAAGTGAAATTAAGTCTGCAGTTGTTAGGGAGGTCAAAGTGTAATTGACCCATACAGAAATCATCAGTCAAATGAAACGGCGTAGTATNTTGACAATGTTATTAGTTTCACATTATCCCAACAAGAGTAAAGATGCTCTATTGTTCACATAGGAGTTGTCCCTCAAAAATGTTGTTTTACACTAAAAAAAAGGATGTTCATCCTTAGAAAAGATAGACCATAAATGGAGATAATAATTTTGACCTGACTTTTGCTGAAGTAGGATAACTTGAAAAATGAAGTCTAACTTTCAAATTTAGTCCCTAGGGATGTCCATGGGCTAGATTGTCCACAGTTTTTGTTACTCGACCCAATAGTTAGCCCACGTCAAACTTGAGTCTAATATCTTTCGAGAGAAGGTTTTGCCCTATCCCTCAAACCTATTACCCCCACCTACTGCCTCGCCCTATAAAAGTTTGTTAAAACTTGACTCAAGAACCTACCAACCCAATCCAATCCAATGAGCCCGCGCTAAATTTTAGAAATTTAAAAATTATAAATAATATATTCTATTCTTTTGTATGTATCAAAAATATACGCTTTAAATAGTAAAGTTGTGCAAATGATAGATAAGTGGTTAGATTTCAACCTAGTTGGAATGTACTCATTTTATTTGTGATGCATTTCCTCCCCTATTTATAAATAAAATCATTCATTATTTATTTTTTGTCCATTTTAACTCTACTTTTAGTTCAAAAATATAATTTATAAAAATATTATGTTATAAAAATATTTATTATTTATAAATAAAGTCATGCATAAAAAGCCCGTCCAGTAGATCCACCCATAGCCCTTCCCAACGAGGTTGCCCATTGAATGGCGGGTTAGATTACGAGTAGTTTACTTCTATTTAAAGTCTGACTTGATTTGTCCAATAACTCACTTGAGTAAGGTTTTGACCCTATCATACACAATACCAACCCAACCCATAGAAAATAAAAAGGACAAGGAAAATGGAAACGACTTTTGTTGTTGCATAAATTGATAGAGATTGTAAAGCATATTATTTAGACGAACAACACACATGTTGTACTGAAAAGGATTTTTACATCTCCCAAAATAAATAATGTCATTTAAGAATTTGACAAAAAAAAGATATTTTATTTTACCTCTAAAATTATATAATTTTGTTTCACTTAGACCTAAAATGTTGATTTATTTGCCAAAAAAATAACGTATATTTATATTTGGAACAATGTGAAATCAATTAAGAAATAATATAAAAAATTCAATAATTTTAGGCACAAAGTGAAATTAAGTCTGCAGTTGTTAGGGAGGTCAAAGTGTAATTGACCCATACAGAAATCATCAGTCAAATGAAACGGCGTAGTATAATCGATATGTGGTATCCACATCACAACATGTAGTAGTGTCTCCTAGGGTTGGGGCTGGTTTGAATCTGAGCTCGATGAAGGAAGGAAGAAAAGGTGAGCAGAGAGCTCACACGAAGAAGATAGTGCTGACGTCACTGTCAGCAATGGTGGCCGAGACAACGACGTTCCCCATAGACATGACAAAGACGAGGCTTCAGCTTCACGGCGAGTCTCCCTCATCGACTCGCCCAACCAACGCAGTCCGAGTCGCTGCTCAGATTGTGCTCAATGAAGGCCTTTTAGGGCTCTACAATGGATTGTCTCCGGCGATAATTAGACATCTATTCTATACGCCTATTCGAATTGTTGGTTATGAGCACTTGAGGAATACTTTGGTGCCCCATGATCATCAGCTTTCTCTCTCTAGCAAGGCGATTATTGGTGGCATTTCCGGCGTAATTGCTCAGGTATTTTATTTTCGAGTGAAATTTATGTTTCTGTTTCTCCAATTTCATATCTTACCAAGTAACACTGTTGTATTTGTATTCACTACTACAAGGCTTTGAAGTTAGGATAATGGAAATCTCCATAGAAGATTTGTTTTTAGTTCAATTGTATGTTAGTTAGATATTTCAATTACTCAACTTTTCGTAGTTGAAATTCACAATAGGAACATGCTAATGCTTGACATTGGAGCATTAAGTTTTGATTTGGTTGTGGATGTAATGGTGTGTAATTGTTTAGNTAGGAACATGCTAATGCTTGACATTGGAGCATTAAGTTTTGATTTGGTTGTGGATGTAATGGCGTGTAATTGTTTAGAAAGACAAAATACAATGCCAAGAGATACCCACAAGTGACGAGCTTGCTATTGTTTATCAATTATTTGTTTTTCTTATATAAGTATGGTGGGTCAATTATCCATGAGGAAACAAAGGTGGTGTATGTATCTAATAAATGGAAGTATGATGGATGAGTGGAGAAGAGCCTTGTGAGCTTTGTGCTGTTAGGGAGGGAGGCAGTTATTTCTGTTGTAGAGAGAGAAACTCTGGCTTCTCTCTAGGAACTGTGTACGAAATTTTCAGATCTACTTCATTCTACTTGATTTTTTCACTGATTCTTTGCATTTCCTATTCATTCTTGTTGTTCTAACATGAATTCAGATCAAATTCACAAACAAATCCCACCCAAGCCTCCTGATATAACCAAAAATTTCGCCTCACTGTTCAAGAATGGTGCGAACTCAGACAGTTTCTTGAAGCTGTAAAATTCTTCTGCTATGGACTTGAATCAATTCTGCATTGCTTCCTGATGATGTGAGAACTCAAACTATGCCTCCTACACTNTCATTCTTTGCATTTCCTATTCATTCTTGTTGTTCTAACATGAATTCAGATCAAATTCACAAACAAATCCCACCCAAACCTCCTGATATAACCAAAAATTTCGCCTCACTGTTCAAGAATGGTGCGAACTCAGACAGTTTCTTGAAGCTGTAAAATTCTTCTGCTATGGACTTGAATCAATTCTGCATTGCTTCCTGATGATGTGAGAACTCAAACTATGCCTCCTACACTCATCTTGAATCCCCAAGCCTGTTTGAATTTTCAAATCCCTGCGATTTCACAAAAACCTTCGACTGTGAGTACTTTTGCGAATTCTCAGATCCCTTTGTCTGAGCATGGATTTCAGCTTCCAATTGCTTTTTCGAATGTTCAGAATAATTCTGGAGTCACTTCAGATCACCAATACTCATTAAATCCTCAATTTCCTTCGAGTTCACATGTTCCTTTGATTGTTGGAAATTCTCTGAATTCTCAGATCCCTGTGTCTGAGCAAGAAGTTCAGCTTCCAGAAGTTGTTTCAAGTGCTCAGACTACTCATAGTTTTCAGATTCATCCTACTAATGTCACGTTTGGTTCTTTTAGTTCTGTGAGTTCTTCAAAATCAGCTAAGAGAGTTGTTTTCAACAATGGGGAGCCAGGAATGTACTGGTCCCCAAATGAAACGCAAAAGTAATTAAGGAATTCATCACCTCGAGGTGGCTTCCTAAAGGGGATTTCACTGTTGGAGTGCTAGATCCTAGACTTGTGTTGATTAGGTTCAGCTTGTATGAAGATTATGTGAAGACCTGGTTGAAGGACACTACCTACATTAAGGGCTATCTCTTTAGATTTTTTTTAAGTGGTTACCAGAGTTTTACCCTGGAATTGAACCCTCTATTGTTCCTGTTTGGGTGTCTCTGCCTGGTCTGCCCTTTCACCTTTTTAATAGAGAGAGCTTGAGGGATATATTAAGCACTATTGGTAGGATATTGGTGATAGATAATGCTACCTTGAGTCTGTCTAGGCCTGGAGTTGCTAGGGCTTGTGTAGAAATGAACTTGCTGGCCAGTAATTTTAAGAGATTCTGGTTAGATATGGGGGGAGCAAGTGGGAGGTGGCAGAGGATAGTGTATGAGAAGGATTATAGATATTGCCCAGTGTGTCTTAAGCAGGGGCATGAGGAGTTTTTATGTNCATGTGTTGATTAGGTTCAGCTTGTATGAAGATTATGTGAAGACCTGGTTGAAGGACACTACCTACATTAAGGGCTATCTATTTAGATTTTTTAAGTGGTTACCAGAGTTTTACCCTGGAATTGAACCCTCTAGTGTTCCTGTTTGGGTGTCTCTGCCTGGTCTGCCCATTCACCTTTTTAATAGAGAGAGCTTGAGGGATATATTAAGCCCTATTGGTAGTATATTGGTGATAGATAATGCTACCTTGAGTCTGTCTAGGCCTGGAGTTGCTAGGCTTGTGTAGAAATGAACTTGCTGGCCAGTAATTTTAAGAGCTTCTGGTTAGATATGGGGGGAGCAAGTGGGAGGTGGCAGAGGATAGTGTATGAGAAGGATTATAGATATTGCCCAGTGTGTCTTAATCAGGGGCATGAGGAGTTTTTATGTAGAAATAAGAAGAAAGAGGAGGTGGCTGGTACTTCTGAGAATGTGGTTGCTCTTGTGAATGGCTCAGGCCATGATGAAGGATGGAAAAATGGGAAAGGGAAAGCTATAGCTAATGAAGAGCAGAGAGATAGACCTAGAAGAGAGTATAGGAAGAGAACTGAGGCTCAAAATCCAGTTGTGGAGAACAGTTTTGTTGTCATGAATGAATTGAATGAGGTGGTGGATGTTGATAATGATTTGGTAATGCATCAGCAAATTCTACATCAGGAAAATACTGATAATCGTAGTTATCAAATCGTGTATAGGAAGACGTATCGTTTTTTAAAAATAGTGTATCGTATCGTGTATCGTAAGATACGGTACAATNACAGCAAATTCTACAGCAGGAAAATACTGATAATCATAGTTATCAAATCGTGTATCGGAAGGCGTATCGTTTTTTAAAAATAGTGTATCGTATCGTGTATCGTAAGATACGGTACAATTTTAAATAAATAATAAAAAAATATATATACCTTTGAAAAAAAATCATACACTCATAAAAATATAGCATTTCATTCATACTTCACCACCTATTCAAGTCATCAACATAGTTCACTAATATTATAATGCAAAGTTTATAACCATAGTTCACTAATTCAAACTTCAAACCCCAAAGAGACTTTTAATCCAAATTTCTAGCATCCATTTTGAATTCGATCCATAAAATTAATCAAGAGTCAGAAATTTTTATGCAAAAAAAAAAAATTAGTGTCTTATTTAGACAAAACAATGTCGTTTTAGAAAAAAAAAAAGTTTTGCGCATATTGGTTGTATCGTATCGATACGTATCGTATCATAAAAACTTATTGTTTATCGGATGATACAATGCAAAAACGATACATAACTATGATCCGTATCGTTTTACTTCCGTATCGTACGATACGTATCGCGTATCGTACGATACTAACAATTATGCTGGTAATGAGTTGCAGAGTGTAGAGGTGGGAATTGGACAACAGGCTAGGTAGCAGATGGTGGTTNCGTATCGTACGATACTAACAATTATGCTGGTAATGAGTTGCAGAGTGTAGAGGTGGGAATTGGACAACAGGCTAGGTAGCAGATGGTGGTTCCAGATGCTATGGGTCTTGATGTGGAAATATGCAGTGGCAAGTGATGTCGTGGCTCAGGACTTGAGTCCAAATGCTGCTGGTAACAGTATAGAGGCATTTGCTTTCTCTCCTCCTGTTATTTTAATTAATAATGCTAATGGAACTGGTGGTTTGAATTATGGTGTGCTTGAGAAGGATGATGGGGTTGAAATGAGCAGGCCCGTGGAAATTGTGGGGCCCAAAGAGGTGTTGGGAGAGTGTAATGTTCTCTATGCACCNATAATGCTAATGGAACTGGTGGTTTGAATTATGGTGTGCTTGAGAAGGATGATGGGGTTGAAATGAGCAGGCCCGTGGAAATTGTGGGGCCTAAAGAGGTGTTGGGAGAGTGTAATGTTCTCTATGCACCCTCTTTGGGTTCATCCTTTTTAGTGGAGCATGGGTATGATGTAAGGAGAGGGAGTGAAGGAATAGTAGATGATCAATTGGGTCTGGTTAGTGANCCCTCTTTGGGTTCATCCTTTTTAGTGGAGCATGGGTATGATGTAAGGAGAGGGAGTAAAGGAATAGTAGATGATCAATTGGGTCTGGTTAGTGAAAGGGTGCCTCCTGATNCTTTTTAGTGGAGCATGGGTATGATGTAAGGAGAGGGAGTGAAGGAATAGTAGATGATCAATTGGGTCTGGTTAGTGAAAGGGTTACTCATCAGATCAGGGCAGTTCTAATACTCAAAATGAAGATAATGGGGATTTTGACAGTTCTTTTCATGAGGAAGATGAATGTACTAGATTAGTTTCTAGTGAGGGTTCTCCATCCATTAATTCATGATCAATCTACTATCTTGGAATATAAGGAGAGCAGAGAAGTCTGTCAAAAGAAGAAGATTAAAGAAACTGATTAGGGTACATGATGTGTGTTTTGTTGCAATTCAAGAGCCCAAGTTGTTAGTTACTAAAATGAACCTTTTTGCTAGAAGTATTGGTTTAAATTAATTTTGCTTTAATCCATTAGCAGAGAGGAATGTGTGGCTTTTATGGGATGATCTGCACATGAACAGGCCTTATCTGTGGAGTTGACTTTTATGAACTCTGAAGTTTTTTGGATTTCTATAGTGTATGCTAGTTGTGCCCATGTTCAGAGGAGATTATTATGGCAGCATTTGCTGGAGTTTGAAATTCCCTCCACTATGCCTTGGATTGTGGTGGGGGATTTCAACTCTATATTGTGCTCTGATGAGAGAATAGGAGGTGCTTTTCCTTCTATGGTGTTTATGGAGGAGTTTGGGGATTTTGTTGACCAAAGGGGTCTGATAGATGGGGGTTTTGTTGGTAATAAATTTACTTGGTGTGATAATAGACAGGGGCATGTAAGAATGAAACAAAGGTTAGATAGAGCTTTTGTTAATGTTGATTGGAATTTGAGATTTGGAGGTGGTTCATTTGGCTAGGGGTGCTTCTGATCATAGCCCACTACTATTGAGAGTTATGGATACTCCAGTCCAGAGAAGATTTCTTATTTTAGATTCCAGGACATGTGGTGTGAACATGAGAGTTTCTTAGATTTAATAGCTGATAAATGGAATGGGCAATATTATGATAACCCTATGTCCAATCTGTTTATTAAGTTGAAGTACTTAAAGGCTCATATCAAGCTGTGGAACAATGAGGAGTTTGGTAACTTGTTTGATAATATAAAGTCCAAGGAGCAGAAGATTCAGGAAGCTGAAATGGAACTGGATCAGAATTTCAGTGAAGCAAAAATCTTTGGAACTGGAAAGGTATTAGGGTGAGTTGGATGATTTACTGAGGAAGGAGAAAATTTACTGAAAGCAGAAGTCCAATGTTAAGTGGGCCATGCAAGGAGAAAGAAATACACAGTTTTACCATGCTATTGCTAAAAGTAAGATTCTCAGGAATAAGGTTTCTCAGATTCAGAATAAGGAGGGTGTTTGGGTGCAGGGAGATGAGATTGTTGTGGTGGCTGAGCAGTTTTGTTCTGACTTGTATAGATCTGAGGAACATCTATTTGCTGACATTCCCAGTTTGGTTAGCAATGAAGAGAATGAGAGGATTACTGCTGAGGCCTCTTTGGAAGAGATAAAGGATGTAATTTTTTCCATGGCAGCAGAGAGTGTACCTGGACCTAATGACCTTTCTGGGAAGTTTTTCCAGTTTGCTTGGGAAATGATTAAGCTGGACATATGTAGGGCAGTCAATTTTTTGTTGAAAGAAGGTGTGATGCCTGCTTCTGTTAATTCTACTCTGTTGGTTTTAATTCCAAAGAAGGAAGACCCTGTCTCTTTTTCTGACTTTATGCCTATTAGTTTGTGTAATTTATTATATAAGATTTTTACTAAACTAATCAACACAAGGTTGTCTTCTTTACTTCCTGTGTTAATCTCTGAAGAACAACATGGCTTTGTGCAAGGAAGGGGCATTGGGGATTGTGTGGCCTTGGGGCAGTTGTTAGTAGGAGAATTGGATAGGAAGGTTGAAGGTGGTAATCTGGTATTGAAGCTTGACATGATGAAAGCTTATGACGGGCTTGAATGGGATTTTTTATTGAAGGTACTGGGATGCTTTGGTTTCTCTAATCTGTTTATTCAGATCATTTCTAACTGTTTGAATTCTCAGCATATTTCTATATGTTTGAATGGCCAAAGATATGGATATTTTTCTAATTCTAGGGATTTAAGGCAAGGGGATCCTCTTTCTCCTTCCTTATTCATCCTTGTTGAAGAGGTTTTAAGTAGAGGTTTGAGGAGCATTTATCAGAAGCATCTGGTTGACCACTATCACATTGGTAGAGGTACCATGATAGTGAGTCATTTGTTATTTGCTGATGATGCCCTCGTATTTCTGAGGGTACTAAGAAATCTGTACAGAATGTGATGAAGTTCATTGGTGAGTATGAAGCTTGTTCTGGGCAGAAGGTTAATAAATCAAAAAGTTCTATGTTTGGTTCTAAAAGGATATCTTTGGCAAGGAGGAATTGTTTGTCTTCTATGGTGGGAATTCCTTTTAAACAGTGCCCTTTTACTTATTTGGGTTGCCCTATTGTTAGAGGCAGAATCAGGATTTGCTATTTTGAAGATGTGATTAGGAGCTTCAGGAGTAGGATTGAAGGTTGGTATGTCAAGATGTTGTCTGGCACGGGCAGAGTGGTACTTGTGCAGTCTATTTTGAGCTCTATCCCAATTCACTTATTGGCATGTCTAAATATTCCAATGGGGTTTTTAAAGAAGTTGAACTCTCTTATTGCTGGTTTCATTTGGTCTGGTAGGTTGGATGAGAGAAGAAGGCACTGGGTCTCTTTGGAGAATATTTCTAAGCCTAAAGAAGAAGGAGGATTAGGTCTTAGATGTTTTGAAGAAATTCAGTCTGCTTTCAGGATAAAGCAGGTTTGGGGAATCTTAAATGAGCAGTATCTGTGGGCAAAGGTGTTTAAGGGGAAGTTTTTGAAAGGCAATCATTTATTGAGGAGTGGACTATCTGGTCCTGGTCAAAGTTTTAGAATCTTGAGGCTTTGGTTTGAATTTGTAGTGAATAATTCTGTGATGCTCATTGGTGATGGAAAAACTTCTGATTTCTGGTGTGACTATTGGATTGAGCCTGGTCCTTTGTTGCACAGTATTGAGAATCCTCCATTGTTTTTTCCTAAGATCAGTGAGTTATGGCATGGTAATGAGTGTCATTTTGAGGGGGTTGGTGAATGGCTTTCTTTACAGTTGCAGTTGGAAATTAGAAATTCTGGGGTGATTTTGACTAACAGACCTGATAAAAGGGTTTGGAAATCTACTAACTCAGGTACTTTTTAAGTAAAATCTGCATGGGATTTGATTAGGAGGAGAGGGGTGCAATGCTCTGTTGAAAAGACTATTTGGCATCAGAAGGTTTTCCCTAGTGCTCAGTTATGCACTTGGAAAATTTTCAGAGAGGTCCTGACTACTGATGAGAGGGTGCAAAAGGTGGGGGTATCTCTTGCCAGTAAATGTAGTTTGTGTGGTGTGGAGGAGGAGAATGCTGCTCATTTATTTGTTAGATGCTCTTTTGCAGCTGCTGTGTGGAAGAGAGTGTCTGCTGTTATGGGCTTTGAGGTTTTAATTGGTGAATCTCCAATTTGTAGATTTCTGAGGTTCGTCAGAATTTTTAGAGCTCAATCATTGAGTCATACTTGATCAGGGGAGTGTCTATGCTTATATATTGGGCCTTATGGAAAGAGAGATGTAGGAGAAGATATGAAGGGTTGAGCTTGAATACTTTTGCTGTTTTTATGCAGATTGTTAATGCTCTGAGGTGGCAGGTCTTTATGATTAGACCTAAGAGAGAGGAGAGTATTTGGGGAAAGGAAATGTTGCAGGATCTGAAAATTGGAGTACCTGGTGTTGTGGTCACTTCAGTTAAATGGATCACATAGGAGCCACCACCCTTGAACATGCTGAAACTAAATGTTGATGGTGCTTCAAAGGGGTGTAGTGGTTTGTCCGGAGGAGGGATGGTTGTAAGGACTGCTCAGGGGCAGGTGATCTTGGCAGCTGATGCCTTTTATGGTCCTGGATCAAATATGNAGTGGTTTGTCCGGAGGAGGGATGGTTGTAAGGACTGCTCAGGGGCAGGTGATCTTGGCAGCTGATGCCTTTTATGGTCCTGGATCAAATATGGAGGCTGAATGTTTAGCATTACTGGATGGTTTGAAGCTGATCAGGCAGCATGGATTTGAGGGTAGCCAATTCTGGATAGAGTCTGATTCCCAAGTCCTGGTAAAGATGGTCTTGGGAAAATCAGAAATTCCTTGGAGGGTTAAGGGAATTTTGGAGGAGATTTGGAGTTTTCTTGGGACTTTGCAGTTCCAGATCAGACATGTTTTTAGAGAGGCTAATTCAGTAGCTAATTTCCTGGCCTCATATGCTGTTCAGACTGGTGTTTTTACTGATTTCTCAGACAGAGGTATTCTGCCGTTGGCTGGAAGACTTCTTTTAATTCAAGATCAGCTCAGCTTGCCTACTGCAAGGAGGAGGAGGGTTCTTTTGGATAAGTTCTGATCTGTATGGGGTCATGGTCTGTTTTCTGCAGTTTCTGCTGTGAGGTGATGGCTGATCAGCTTCTGCTTTGCTGGACTGTTTTGAGGCTCTGTTTGCTGGGCTGTTCTGCTAATTCATTCTTGATTGTAATTAGAAATGGTTTAATCCATCTTGTAGGATTAAAGCCATTTTTCATACTTTTTAGAACTTCTTGTTCTTTGCTTCTTGTAATTCTTTCTTTTTGGAAATAAAATTTCTCCCTTTTCTTAAAAAAAAAAAAAAAAAAAAAAGGGAATGAGCAAACTTAGTTGTACATACATAGTAGAATTAATTTTTATGCCAAAGAAGCATACATGTTTCAAGAAGTTTTATAGAGGAAATGAGGACTCTATGGTTTGCTAGCAGTACAATAAAAGATAGAATAAGATATATGCATGCATAGGAGAGATGTTAGAAGTGGCATGATTAGACTGGCATAGTTTCTCTGTGATGGATTGGCTGCATGCAGCAAACACCAATGCAAGCTCTGGTGCAAACGAATGGCTTGTCCAAGGTGAAGGCACCCAAAAAGAAAGTTGTAACAATATTATGGGTTGAAACTGCAAGGGAAGTTATGATTGCCAAGCATTTCTCCATGTAAGAAAATAAAAATCTCACTTAAGGATTGTTTATAGATAGTAGTTTGAAAAGCCTTCTCTCTCTCGTTGCGTATGGATAAGTTCTTCTTTATTTTCCTAGGCATAAAGTTGCATCAGATACTTTTTTTGTTAGCAAACCTATGAAAAGGAGAGCAAAAGAGCATGCATATAATCATAAATTGGTAATGCACTTTGCAGGGGAAGGGTCTAGTTTGTAATACCAAGGCCTAACAAATTAATGTCAAAACTAAGTATCAAACCACATATTGAAATCTAGGAAGTACGGACACTTTATTTCAGTTACAGTGTCGATGTCAGATATGCTACAGACATGCTAAAAGGAATGTTCAATTTTTTATCTTATCAAAAAAAAAGAAAGAGTAGTGTTCGATATTTTTTTCAATTTTTCAAATAACTTAATAATTATAGAAGTTATTTTTGTAAATTTAAAGAGATATAGGTCAAAGACATATATAAAAAGAGTTGTAATCATGGATGTATTTTATGTTGAATGTGCAGTGTATATGTGATAGTGTGTTTCTTTATTCGATCATATCATGATGTTAATTTTTAGAATTAAGGGAAAGATGAATTGAATGATTATTATTAAAATTTATTGACGGATACGTGTCCTATTTTTTTGAAAATTTTCATGTCAACGTATCTGTGTCGTGTCGTGTCATATATGTGTATCCTTCTTTTCTTATCCTTCTCTCCTTTACCTATCAATGATTCTGTTAACATTGTAGACAAATCTTTTGCTTCTCGGGTGGTGGTGAACATTGTTCTTTGTGTTGCAGGAGATGCCCACTTGTGTTTGTGCTTCTTAGATTGAAATATTTACTTTTAACAACTTTTCTCATTGGGTGATTCCAAAAGGAGGGGAAAAAAAAAGAAGACCAACTTCTAGCAACATATTTTTTTGAATCCAACAATTTATCAGTGATTCTTAAAAGTTGACTATTGAGTTAACAAACTCTCTCATTATAAATGCACCACAATTGAGCACCTCACCCAGATTATATGAAACTATTTGCGTCAGGTTGCACTTATACCAATGTTTGGGTTCTCATATCGTTCCTGGAACTATTGATTCATATTATATATCGCCTACCCTTTTGGTTATGGCTGTGATTGCAAATTCATAAGTTCTAATTTTTGCCTCAATCACCAAATAACACCCCATCATGCCTGAATGCATTTCCATGATTGTGCTTTTGCTGCTTGCCTATGATGATCCTCAGTGGAGAAGTGGGGATATTAAATACTGCTCAAGTTGTCGCCTTGCCATTCTCTTCTTAAGACCACCTCTTTTTATTGCCGTTCTTAGTGATCTGGGACGTGGCCACAGACAATATCCCTCTTTCTTGTTGTAGGTTTGGTTTATTGGCAAGGGGGAGTTGATGATATCTGTTTCATTGGTAATATATGGGACCATATATCAACCTGATTAACTTGAGCCAACCATCCTCTCTACTTTTTCAGGTAAAATGGCATTTTTATCAAAGACAATAATATTCACAAACCACCTTCATTCTTTCTGGTTAAGTCATTACTTCGACTACATTATGCAATCCTACTTTCCGTGAAGCCACTACTACAATAAAATTAATGGACTATTTTACTCAAACCTCTGAGCTTGAAACTTCAGAGCAAGGATCAAAATATCGTTTTGAAATGGTCGAAACATTCGAAACCTTTCCGTTTCCAAGGAGACCGAAATGAATTAATGATGAAATCGAAATTTTAATATTTTGAGGTGGTGTTCCATAATATTTCAAAATATTTTGTTATATTTCAATGCATTTGCACAATTATATCAGAATGTTTCAAGGTATTTCAAGACATTTTAGTATATTTTGAACAATATTTTTAAAAAATAATTGTTAATTTTTTTATTATTTTCTTTCTTTTTTTGAAACGGGTCGAAATATTTCTGAAATATGTCGAAATATTTTCATTTCCTAAGTGACCGAAACAATGTACCGAAACGAAATTTTGGTCCTTGTTTCGGAACTTTCTCATCTTTATAAACCAATGCTACTTACAATGATTTACCTGAAATTACTGGCCTAACGAAAATTTTGTGCTCTTGTTTCCAAGTTCGTCTTCTTTGTCAATACTCATTTATGCATACATTTTGAAAACATCATTATACTGTGCCTAACGCTTATATTACAGCTGTACAGGTAGTGGCAAGCCCTGCTGACCTGGTTAAAGTGAGAATGCAAGCAGATGGCCGTATGCTGAGCCAAGGTCTCCAACCCAGGTACTCTGGGCCACATGATGCCTTAAAGAAGATTATTCAAACTGAAGGCTTCGGAGGACTTTGGAAAGGAGTTCTCCCGAATGTCCAGAGAGCATTTTTAGTGAACCTGGGAGAATTGGCCTGCTATGATCATGCAAAACGTTCTATAATCGAAAATCAGATCTTTAGTGACAATATTTATGCCCACACTTTGGCCTCTATTATGTCAGGTCTTTCAGCAACTGTTTTGAGTTGTCCCGCAGATGTAGTGAAGACAAGAATGATGAACCAACCAGTGATCAAGGAAGGTAATATTAGATATGAAAACTCTTATGATTGCCTTGTGAAAACTGTTAGAATTGAAGGATTGAGGGCATTGTGGAAGGGATTTTTTCCTACATGGGCAAGGCTTGGTCCTTGGCAATTTGTGTTCTGGGTTTCATATGAGAAATTCCGACAAATTGCAGGCCTCTCTTCCTTTTGATGAATTCTTTTGTGTCCATGCAAAAATTACAGTTTTTTCTCATAGAGAGGTGACCGTGGAACACCAGTTATGATTCTAATTCATAAGCTTCAAACGTGGATGCACTGCTCCTTGTGGTTATTCAGATCCTGGCGTCATCAGATAGATTGAAGTTGTTCAGATCATGAGTTATCAACCCAGACTCTTGTACAGGACAGGGCTATGTAAGTGGCTGTGCAAATAACCATTTCTTTGTCTGATCGACTATTTATCAAGTTAAATGCAATGTTTTCCTATGAAAAGCTAACAAGGTTACAATTTTACTTGGTTCAAAGATGAAGACAACACACACACATCCTGATTACTTCATTGTCTTTGAACATCTTGTTGACATTTTCCATGCTGATTGTGCTCTGGATCTGGAGGAGATATGTCCCTGATAATTGGGTTGTGATAGCTCATTTCTTAGTTGGGCTGGATTGATTGGACATGTGGTTAGTTATTTACAATGGTTGTTTACCATTAATATTGGCCAACCCAATAGCCTCAAATGCTTGTCTACTCCTCTATGCATTCCTTCTACTTGTTCACCTGCTAACCACCATTTTATTGGCCCTTTGTAATTGTTTCATAATTTGGTGAAACTTGAAGATGAATGAATTGCTTGGCCTACTTGTTCAGTGAATTTATTTGTATCTATAAATATAAGCCAAAAAAAAAAGAAGAAAATTTAATAGCCTGTTTGATTCGATGGAAAAAAGTGTTTGGTTTTTGTGGAAAAAGGAGTGGATTGGATGAAAAATAGATGAAAAGTGATCTATTTCACCCACTGCTTGTTATCCTCCCAAATTTGGGTGGAAAAAAAAAAGAAGGAAATGTGTGTGAATGGGTTAAATTACTTTAATACCCTCTTTTGTGTGTCCTTGGCCTTCACCTTTTTTTTTTTTTTTGGGTGAAACAGGAGAAATTCTCGGTCTATTTCGAGTGAGTAGAGATGCGTTTATGTCAATCAGACTCGTGAATTCGAGTAGAATTGAGGGTAAATCTTAGGTGCATGAATCAACTCTTTAACTTATACACTAGTTAAATTAAGATTTACGTTTCGGTGGGAATTGAGATCTATTTTATTAACTAATTATATTTTTTATCGTTCAAAAAATTTAAATCTTTTACTTCAAGAAGATAAAATTTTTACAAGATAAAAATTGTAATAGAACCAAAAGTCGATGGTTACCTTTGCCTTTTCATTGGCAAGCAATCCCTTCTCTTTTTTTGCCAACCAAGTCTTCACAACTCACATCCAAAAAACTCCTATGGTGGGGTCCACGTAATTTCTACCATAATTTCTTCTTTTTTTTTTGTCAAGGTACCTCAGTACATGTTCCGTTTTTATTTCTGTTTTTATTTACCCAAAAAAAAGAAAAAGACTCAGGGCTGAAGGGTATTTATAGTATTTCGTTGTACGACTTTTTCCACTAACTTCTTTTTCATACTAAAATACATATATAATAGCTTTTCACATTTTGTATCTATCTCAAAAGATGTTTCAATTTTTATTTTGTACCTCAAAAGATTATTTTTTTCATATTGTATCTTGAATGCCATAAATTAGTTCAAATGTGACCCTCAGACTAACAATTGTTTCAATTTTTTTTAAAAATTGATGCATATATCACTCAAGGATATGAACGGTGAGTTTATATTTTTATCTAAGAGCAAAATATGTGGGTGACATACATCAATTTTTAACGGAATTTGAAATGGAAGTTAGTCCAAGGACTACATTGAAACCAATTTATTACATTCAAGATGCAATATAAAAAAAATAATTAGGGTGCAAAGTGAGAATGAAAACATTTTTCGGAGTGCAAAGTAGGAAAAACTCATACAATATCTCCTATTTTTCCTTCATTCCTACCAAACAAAAAGAATTTCTTTCCTCTATGGATAGAAGAAAGTCTATCCCTTCTCTTTTTTCGTCCCTCTTATTTTTCATCTTTCCCACTAAATAATTCATAAATAATTTTTTAATTTAATCATCCAAAATCTCCAAAATAAATTCTCTTCTAAGGGTGACAATTTTCACCATGACATGCAAATAGTAAACTTGATATGAAATAAGTAGGTAAGATTGACTAACTCTCGACACGAATCCAATCCTTTAGTGTCAAACTTGAATATTTCGAATTTGACATGATATATAGATTTAGCTGATATTATATAAATAAAATATTTGATATTTGTCATTTTTTGTGGGATATTGACATGAATCATTGTAAAATGAGAGAGATTTCTTACTCTGAAAAAAAAACTAGGTCTAGTTGAGAAATAATGGTGTCTTTGATTCACGTGTAGTACAAGTTAACATGAAATCAATTCGATAATAAATAAATCGGGTTAATATCACAATATTTGACATAATTCATTAAATCAATTTTTCAGATTTTTTAATACTCGACACGAAATGACAACTCAACATACTTAGTTGCAACTTTAATTCCAACTTTAATTCTATGGGATTGACTATGGTATCGAAAAAAAAAATTCAGCAGTGTATTTCCAAAAATTTATTATTTTAATAAGTGTTTTTATAACCAAAACAATTATTACTTTTGTAGGTAATTTATTATTATTGTGGGTATTTTTATCATTTTTGTAGGTGTTTTACTATTGTTGTAGTAATCATTATTACAACTTTTTTTCAGTACAAAATATTTATCACATTTGTGACTATTTTTACCATTGTTGTGGTACTACTTCTATCATTTTTTTTTTGATACTATAATAGTGATAAAAACACTTACAATGATAAAAATATTCATAAATATAATAAATATCGATATTTTTTTTTTATTCCGCGGACAATTACTGAGATTCTAATTGACAATGAAGCTGTGTGAAGCTGAGACATTAATTGCCCCAACTGCGGAGTTGCGAAAACTTTGTGGGTCCTGAGTAATAAGCTTTTAAAGTTTAGAGGAGCTTAGGAGCATTCTTGTGAACTTTTAATTTTGGCTGATGACCTCCTTGATGATGAATGAGTGTGCACAGTAAAAATCCACTCGTTTTGCTATCACCTTCTTCCTGGATTCAGTTGGGTATTCAATCCATGGTTTGTAAGAACATCATTGATGACCATCGGTCAGAAATTTATCTTAGTGGGGACATATTTGAACAATAACACAATAAAAAAGATTGAATTAGTAAATAACTATAAAACCTTAAATATTGATTAGCAACAATTCTATTAAGCACATTTACAATATTTTCGACTAATTTTTTTATAATTTAAAATCATTGTAAAATTATCTTATCACCAACATAGTGAAAAAGAACAAGAGATGACACAAGATATATATATAAAGAGAGAGAGAGAGAGAGAGAGAGAGAGAGAGAGAGAGAGAGAGAGAGAGAGAGAGAACATATTAAAAAATGATTTTTCGATACCTAGTCAAGCGTATTCAACAAAAAAATGATAAAGTTTACAAAATTAGAATATAAATTTAATCTAAATGTTAGAGATGATTAAGTGAATTAAGATGGAAATTTAAAGTAAAATTTTGTTTGCAACAAAAAAATTGAGTGCACTGACTGTGGGAATTGCTAGTAACATGGAAATATTGGTTTATCTATAACATATTCAACTATCATCAAGAATATATTTTACAATTATGGTTAAAATATGTTAGTTCTTGAAAAAGTATGTTTTTGTAAAGAATATTTAGACGCGACATTTGTAAAGAGTAGTGAATCAAACTTTAGAGGGAGTTCGTGAACCAAATGTCTTACCTGGTGACTCTACACCCATTTGAATCTTAGAACCATAACCATTCAATGGGATTTGATCAAGACTAAAGGACCTCTCTCGGTCATAGAATAGTACTTTAAGGCGACTATCCATGCCTCTGTTGACGACCAAGACCAAGTCACAATGCCACGGGCTGCGAAGTTAATCCCAGAGTGATTTCTATAAGAGGGAGAAAATCGTTGGACATCACATAAGAGAGAATACAACATCGGATTGAATATATAAACTTATATATTTAATCTTAAATCTTTGGGTTCTCATCTCTCAACATATAAATCTGTAAATGATGTAACATTTCTCGCAAGAAAATAGTTGTACTGACAGAGAAAAGATGAAAAAAACTTTTAAATTTAGTTCTTTTACGAAGAGAATGACGAAATAATAATGATATTTTGAGAACATGAGAACAAAACGTGGTTCTCATCTTTTTTCTAATTATCTTTGTGTAATTGAGTGTAGTGTACTGACATGGTACAATCATTCTTTGACTTTTTGTTTTCCTGTTTATTTAGCTAAGAATAAATAATGATTTTAATGTTAAATAGTGTTGACAGTTCATCACCTGAGCAAATTCAACAGCTCTGAAGGAGGTGATATAAATCACAACAATACCTGCCGCCATCTACATTGAAAATAAGTTTATCAAAGTTAAGGGGCAGATTTGGTCTGTTTTTGTCTACCAATGTATACTTTTGTCAATAATTTTGTGGGAGATACTCTTACTCAGGGCATCTCTTACAGATTTGTGTTTTAGCCTTGATTTTTTGAATTTTTTTTGATGTTTGTCTTTGAGTGCTACGTGACTTCACTGTATATTTTATGGTGTTTATCCTTGTATATCTGTTTTCTTTTAATACATTTTATTTTCTGAAAAAAAAGTTTGTCAAAGTTACGACCCAATATGATAAACGATATGAATTGATGAGGTCAAAAAATTTAGAATCGATCCTTGAAAAATGAGATAGATTTCAAGTTCTTTAGATTGATTATGACTTGATTATTTTTCGTTGTAATTTTTCTTTTCGGTACAATTTTTAATTATAATTTGACCTATATAGATCCGTTGTTTCAAAATCTGTTGTTATTAACGTAAGGAATCTAATCGACAAACAGGTCTCAGGCGACTGTTTGTGAGGGGTTATAATATCTTGTTTTAGGACTTCATTAGATGAATTTTAATGGACAAAAACACATAATTTATGAAACTAACAAAAGAGAATTTTTTTATTAATACAGTCGAAATGACTTTGGTTACTAAAAAGATTGGATTAATAACATTGATTGCAATAGTAATTCCTTTTTAAAACTAATCTAACATTATTCCAAAAAATGGCCAAATCGTGAGTCTTGTGGGAGTTTGAATGTATCATTTCATCTTCTCCATTACATGCCTTATATGACAATTTTTCTCAACTGTTTTTGTCCCCATCGATGATTATCTTGATAAGTAATTTTGAGTTAGTTATTTCTTCTTTTCAAATATGACTATGGTTGATCACCTCCGGCCTTTCTTCAAATACTGTTACGTGGCATCTTCTTAATACATTCAGATTTTTTGGATGTTAATACGTTGAACACTCCTAAGACTATATTTTAAGTCCAAACATGATCATAAATTTCTATAAAAATATTTTCTATACCCTAAACAATCCATCCAAATTAGGGGTGCAACTTGGGTTGGGCAACCCGATTTCAACCCGAAAAAATTAGGATTTGGATAAGAGTTTTTAATACTTGGATTGGCCTTGAGTTAAAAATTTTCAACCCGAATTCAATTTGGGTTGGGCTCAGGTTAAGGTCTCGTGAACCCAAGTTCATCCCAAACCAGACAAATTAAAAAAAAAATTTATATATATATACTGGTTTTTTATTTTTGTTCTATCGTTCTTTCTCTTTCTTGTTCTCTTTGCCTCTCTCGTTAAAAATTTAGTTGAAATTATTGGTTGTTAATTTAGGTGAATATTATGTAATATATGTATTAGGTTTAAAACAACAAGCCTATTTTGAGCTTTACCCGAATTGAACCTGTAAAATAACCTGAATCAGCCTGAAATCATTAACCTGAGCCCGCCCGAATTAAACTCGAGCAGTGCTCGGGTTGAGTTCCCCAACCCGAGATAGGGTTAGGGTTAGGGTTAGGGTTGAAGATTACATACCTAGAATTGGGCTATGATTGATTATCCAACCAGCCTAACCCGCCCGAGTTGCGCCCCTAATCCAAATGCATTTACACCATAGGGATGGACAATGAGTCATTAAGACTTAGATAGTGCATGTTTTATAACAAGCCACTCTATGATTCGTTTGTCGCCTTAACCCAATTGTTGGGATCTACAGGCCTTAGGTAGGGTATCCTCATAGGCAACTTTAATACATATTTGGGCTTAAGTGTCATCTCCCTCGATGTACATCAGATCTTTGCCTCTAGCTAGAGCTTCAACGATTTTACATAATAATAAGTCAATACAAAAGTCCGATATTTAGCACTATACTAATAATATCAGTGTTATATTTAACATGTGGTATTTTCAAAAAATAAGTGTGCACAACAAATCACCAACCTGTTTCTCACTAGTCACGACAACCTTTGTCGTATAGTGATATTTTTTATGAAATACCTCAATATTCTCCACAATATTACCATTGATAATATGCCAGCTACACATTATCACAATATCATCATAAGTCAATAAAATAATTTACTGAAGCAATACAATCCACCACGATGTCTTGGCATAAATAATGACCATCCATCAAGTAAACATGGTCCATATAAGCTTCCTCAATTTTTTCATAATGACAAGTAGTCTTTTACCTATTAGGAGCAACTTTATTCTCAAAATATTATTTTTCGTGGATGCCACAAATGTCATCAATAACATTTTTCTTCACGCATTTCTTAAATTTCACCAAATCTTGCACGTAATAAAAGCTTATTTCTTTGTATAAATATAACCTATCATTTCATGGGATCTAATAGCTTGAAACATTCCTCAAAATCACACATTAGAACAGCTATGATATATATGAGCGTAAGTGGATTAGATTGTGGGATTAAATCACATACAATAGAAGTGTGTCTGACAGAATTTTCATGCCATCAAAATTTTACTAAGCACATGAATAAAACAAATGAGCTTCATATAGATTAGAATAAATGCATGTTGAATTTCTAATCACCAAAATAAGTCAAGTGCCGTAACTTGGTCAAACAAATTTAATTCATAAATAACACTTCAAAAAAATCTTATTAGACCCCTTATTGGGTTTCCAAAATCACATTAGGGCACCATTACTTCTTAACAAGCACCCAATAAATCTGATTTTTTTTTTAAGTGGATTACACTCACGGTGTTATGAAACATTCACCACTGTTCACAGCTTGGTTTTTGTTGCCCAACTCCCAATACATGCCAGCCTTTCGATAAGTCCTTTTTTTTCTATTAGTTCTATTGGGCGATAAATTTTAAATGTTTCAAAATAATCTTAGAATCAATATTTGTGGCTTAGAAATCCAAATACCATTCACCACCCGATGTAATATAGAGATTCTTTGCCTTTCGACATTTCAAATTTAATGATCTATTCTCTAAGTCTAAAATTGCGACGTTACTGTACATCAACATTTTCTTTTTTGGGTAAATCATGATTTAAAATAACACATTTCACATTCAAATATTCCTGCAATCCAAATGAAATTTACAAAAATAATTACTTTGCTAGAAACACATGAATGATAAAATCTTTTTTTTTTTTTTTAAATTTTGGGGGCAGAGAGGGGAAAAGGGTGTTTGAACCCTTGACTTCAAGAAGACAACTCCTTCATAAGGCAAGGAGGCAATATTAACCTCAACAACTATTGTAGGTGAGATCTTTTAATTAAATATTGGTTAAATAAAAACATCAACCATGTAAACTCACGTTCATTCGTCCATTATGCAAGTTTACTAGTTTTGTCTCTTGTGGATGACTCATAACCTAAATGGTATGATATGATTATCTTAATTAGTCTTAAAATTTATCAGCTGTCATGAAAGAGACCTTGCCCTACAAGCATAACTTTAATGCATGGCCGCCACATTATAGAAATCTCAACATCATGTTTATTTACTTGAAAATCTATAAAAAAAAAAAAAACATATATTTATTTATGTGGGAAAATCAACATTGTAAGCGATTGATTGGCTAAAGACTATATTGGGGTACAGTACTTATGTAGATGCATAGCATGTTCACATATACAACTCTAGGATGATCTGGACGTTACTTCGGTTTTTGTTTATGAAAACTTACCGTTGGAGCCAATGTTTTGAAGTTTTTCTTGTTTTAATGGACTCAACTATTGCATTAATCAGGTTTTTATTACCGTTGAATAGGAGTGATGGAGGGTTGGCAACTATCATAATAGAATCAGAATACATCGCACTATCATTAGTCTCTACAAGGAAATTTGGCACGTAAACCAAATAGATGAAACTGTAGCAATGTTCCACAACCATGCAATGACAGGATATTTGGGCAACATCCCTTATAGGCTTCTTTGTAAATTCTAGACTTAGCCTTAGTTGTTGAACTCGTTTAAGGCTTCAATAGATTCGTTTTAACTTATACTATGGAAAACTAATTTTGTCTGATTCATAAAATGACAAATATTTATCCCCCACTATTTTCATATTTCTTCTTTTATGCTTATCTTTTTGTAATATTTATAGATTGATCAACTTCAGTGGATTCAAAACCAACAGAATATATTGCCATTCCGGGTGGCTTTTTAACTCCGGCCAGCAGTCTTGTGTCTCCGATATCAACTTTGAATTTCGCAGAGAACATGTCCATGATCCCTAGTATTGGATTCATTGTCAATTCAACGATAACAATCAACAACTTCGTCGAGAACTCAGGCTCGATCGAAGGTGGTGGGATCATAAAAGGAGATTTCCGGTGCCCCGAAAAATCGAACTTTGAAGAACTTCATGATAGGATGGACAATTCTTCAGTGCATTTTGCAGACTCTATGGGGTTTCAAAGTTTCAGGGAAGGCTTCACCGACATGCAGCTGGTCGATAATGGTGAAGGCCATAGCTCATCAAACCCTGATTTGTGATCGGAAACTGCGGTGGTGATTTTGAAGAGGACAAGAATTATTGGAATAGTATGCTGAATTTACTCAACTCGCCACCGGCAGGTTCGCCGGTGTTTCGATAAACCATAAGATTAATAATGTTGAGAAATATGAGTCTTAAAAGTGTCATTTTGAAGTGCAATGATAGTTCTAATCTTATCAGTAATGTAATAAGGGCTAAGATTACATCTATCAACTTATTAGCAACTTTTTCTATTTCTTTCAAGAGTTTAATCACAATAATATTATTTAGACCTATTTTACTAGGAAAATATCATTTGAACTTAAAAAATATATATAGTGGGGTCTCAATAAATGTTAGGACTCACAATAAAATCAATAGTTATGATTATCAAGTAAACATTTTAAATCCATGTAGCATTGCTTATTTTACTCATTTATAATTCATGAGCAATGCAACAAAAACTTAAAAAAATAGACTTAAAATCATTGATTTTATAATCACAATCATTGATTTTACTGTGAGTCTCAGTATTTATTGAAACTCATTACCTATTCAATAATTGTGATTATAAATAGTATTTCTCATAATTCACGGATGGGGCTATTCCCACCCCTCAAATCTCTTTTTCAACCCTTTCTGTATTCGCTAATTAAAAATTAAATTTATTCAATTTTATTTTAACCTACTATATAGGTAATGATCAAAATTTTATTTCGTTGTATTATTTCGGCACGAAAATTTGTTAGAGACATAATAAAAATTAATAAAAAATTAAAAATTATTTTTAAACTATTAGTCAAAATATACCAAAAATATCTCAAAATACCTCAAAATATTCCAAAGACATTGTGAATGATTCAATGATTCACTGGTTCAATTGGTTGGATCGGTCATATAATAATAAAATAATATATATATATATATATATATATATATAATTATAAAATATAATAATTTAACTAAAAAATATAAAATATGTCTAAAATGCATATAATTAAAGCAAGTAAAGTGAAGAGAGGACAACAGAGATTAGGAGAGAGAGAGAGAGAGATCGACTCCTAAGTGAGTAACAGAGCAATAGTTGCCTCCCTTAGCTGCTATTCGTCGCTAGACAGGTTGCCTGAGAACTAAGCAATGAGCAGCGGTAGCAGCTTCGATGTCGCCTGAGTTGTCGTCTCACAGTCGCTGGTCGCCTTAGGTCTGTAAGAGACGAAGGGACTTCTGCAATTTTAGGGCAAAAAAAATGGCCCAAATTAAAAAATATTTTAAATTTTCATTTATTATTTTTAAACCGTCCGATTTGTTGGTTTTTAGTCGATTTTCTTCCTTAGGCGGTCTAATTAGGGAATTGGACCAGTTAAGGTTCCAGGTCACGGTTGAACCGGTCCGACCAACCAGTCCAATCCAATTTTGATATACTAATTGAGCCGATACGAGTGTGAAACACGTAGAAAAAAAAAAAAGAATATGGTATTGATACACTTGTATATCACTTTAAAAGTTTTTCAAGGAGACCGATGATGCCTACTCCCAAGGACATTAATTCCTAACTTTTTTCCAAGTACATGAAAGTTTGAGAACTCAATTGACAAAAAAATTAGTTTAGAGACTAAATTAATACAAATATCATAGTTTAAAGGTCACTTATATACTTTTCTCAAAGAAAATTACCACAGGCCCATCCATATTCAAGAGACCAGTTCTATGTCATGAACCACACCATCTTCACCATGTACATGAGAATTTATATGGCACATGGGATCAAAGATCTCCAGTGACGTAATGGCTTAAAGTATTGGCTCTAATAATGATACTATTCGATCGTATTTAAAATGTTTCTGTGTTAAAATTGATGCATTTTATATGCCACTCGTCAACTCGTTGATTCAGATGATTTGAGCAAATTGTTCGAGTTTTAGCATTAGCACTGATAACAATAATGTATGCTAATTTATCTATATCATAAGAGTGCCACGATGATTATCATATGAGGGTGTCGATGCTTATTTCAGACAAGAGCCTAAAACACCGTATAACTTACTTAATGATTAAATCGATACGAGAGTGAAACAAGCCAAAAAAAAGAAAAAGGTCAGAAGTATAGATACACCTGTATATCACTTTAAAAGTTTCTCAAGGAGACGGATGATGCCTACTCCCAAGGACATTAACACCTAACTTTTTTCCAAGTACATGAAAATTGGTTAGATATCCACATCAAAATTATGTTGATGAGAGCACCATGTTGTAGACACATTTAATTGATTCCTTACAGACCTTGCAGGGTGCACTCAATCAAATTGTAGGGTGGGAGAGAGCGAGGGAAGTGAAGAATAGTACATGTTGCCTAACTCATTTGGGTGGTTGGGATGAAAAGACTTCAGGAGCTAAGCCAAATTTAACTCTTTTTATAAGGATAGGTTAAGGCCATGGTATTGGCCTTGATATTACGTAATGAAATATGGCCCTACAAATAATTTATATAATAAAATGACTTATAATTTAAATCTTAAAAAAAAAAAAA